CCCCTGGCAAATATTCTCCTATATATAGCCAGCGTGGTTAGTCTGGTAGAGACTAGGCTAGTTCAGGGCTGAGGCGATATCCCAAAACCTGTGGAACAAGCAGTAACTGCAGTACCACTACCTGGGCGCTTTACCCCAACCAAAGGGGTGTTACCCAGAGCCAGATCAGGTTCGGATCGAACTTGACCCCTTCCCTACTCTCCCCGCCTCCCACCTAGCTCGCTGACAACATCATCCGTCGGAAAACACGTCGTTTGGTTGCAAGCAACAAAGCGAGCCCTCCCCACAGCCACGGGAACACAATCGGCGCCCGCGGTGGTCTGGCCTCTGCTGACCCTGCTAGTTGTTCTGTGTGTATGACGTAACTACATCGGACCGCGTGGGACTGCTCTCTATAGTGGCTCTACCTGGCTTACGAAGTATAGTTACTAGTAGTTGTTTTAGCTTAGTTAGCCTCTACCAGGCTTCAGAAGCGGCTGGAAAGAGTAGAAATTGGCGAAATAGACAGATAACATGCCAGGGGAGTTGGTCCGCTAAAGGTGTACAGTTTGCCGCTCTTATGAGCCGCTTCTGAAGCCTGGTAGAGGCTAGTTTTTGCTTGCTCACCATACACCTTATGTGTTTGCTTCTCATTGGTACCACATTTGATCATTTCCGTCTCGAGAAGGCACCTTTCGTTGAAGGGGCTAAACAGGAAGTATCATTTTAGCCTGAAGTTTCCCAAACATGTTCGCAGTTGACGTAGTGTTGACCATGGCATAGACCTTTTTTCCTGCTGATTTGATAAAGTTCTATAAGTAGTTTGCGACGCATGTTCCTCACGGAAGTAAAGAAGTAGAAGTTGCTAATCTCCAAGCAGATCATACGGTGGCAAGGCAGTATCCATTGGCCAGATTCATTAGCCACCTAATGGACACTACGTACCCTGGCCAATGGATACTGCCTTGCCACCGTATGATCTGCTTAGAGATTAGCAATTGCGGCATGTATTTCGGACACAGGTATCTCCAGTCCATTCCTTTGTGCTGCAGATTTTCGCAGTGAAGTCTGTGCAACGGCAACATACATATGTACCAATCTGGAGGCTAGAAGAAACCAACTCTGTACGAAATCCAACCTTAAACCCGTCTTAAAACATGCGTAAATGTTCGTATTCACAAAGGAAGAAACGGAACTATACGACTTTCAGGTGTGTGTGTGTAAGGAATGTATTTTTTTTTGCAGTGCAACAGATGGATAATAAAGATTTTACCCTGCAGAAAGTAGGCTAGAAGAGCATGTTAAGTATCCAGCACAACAATATAATGGGCGATATACCGTACAGGACACGGGCGTGCTTTCATAGCCTCTACCAGGCACCGCGGATCGCTGGAAAATAGTCCGAAATAAAGGGATAGTATGCCAGAGAAGATCCCGGGCCATAGAAGATCCAATTCGCGACTATGGCTCGAGACCTTCTCTGGTATACTATCCCTTTATTTCGGACAATTTCTACTACTTAGTATTTTCCAGCGATCCGCGGTTCCTGGTAGAGGCTAGTGTTTTCAGGCGATGCCGTAAATAGGTGATATCAGTGGCGTGTTGCTACCCTGGCCCTGGTCAGGTGGGTTTTGGAGGCAGGGCTCGAAATTCATTTTTGGGAATAAGTGCACTGGTGCACTCAACCTAAAAATTGGGTGTACAGCATTTTCTGTGGGTGCACCATATAAGATAAAATAAGTAGAATGTCAGAATGAAAACTAATCATGTTTTGTTTCTAAAGAAAAGCACTACAAGAATGATTTTACTATTTTTCTGACACTTAGATGTTAAGAATATGCTGAATACTACTACTACTCTAAAGTTTAACATCTTGACATATACCTATAAACCTACAAAAAAAATATTTGGGTGCACTGGTTCACAGAAAAATTTGGATGCACAGCTCCAAATTTGGGTGCACTAAGGTGCACAAGACCGGTGCAATGGCCAAGTGGGTAGAGTGTTCGCCTTGCATTCGGTAGGTCGTGAGTTTGATCCCCGGCCGAGTCATACCAAAGACTTTAAAAATGGTACATACTGCTTTCCCTGCTTAGCACTCAGCATTTGGGAAAGAGTATGGGAGTTAAACACACACCAGTACCAGTGGACTAGCCCCTGCTGTAGTGACTTCTGTGTGTGGCCCAGGGCTAATGAACGGAGATGGGCGCCGCCCTATGCGTCACTTGACGCGGGAAGGCTCTAACTTAAGGTGCACATGCACCCAGTATTTCCAGCCCAGTGGAGTGATTGACGTGCCTTCACTCAGCTTGAGCCAGGAGAGGCCGCTACTTAATATGTTCTGACGCTGTCTAGTTTGCTCCGCGTGTCGTGTTCTCGGCCTCCTGTACAAAGCATATTTTACCTGGCGCGCAGGCCAGACATCCTACACCACAACGGAAGCACGGCACTGTGCTCTGAATGATAAATTTGATCCCTGGCTGGCACGGCTATTATTGTAACCCGTGTTAAAAGCCTGGAATGATCCATAATGTGCCGTATTGCACTTACCTATGGAAGGGGTCTTAATAACAACAGAAGACCCCGTGTTCCAATTGTCACTGTGCTCCGCCTTTATTTAGCGCCAGGCGCACTCGACACGATTTTCGGGAAACAAAGCAGGGCTGTTTGTCCGCGGATTTGGGCCCCAGGCAAGGCTTAGGGGTGCTTATGTCGAAAGTCTGGCTGGGTCATGGGCTAGCTATGGTCACATCTGCGACGCAGAAGTTCCTTTTTACGCCTTCCCTTGACACAAATGTGCCCGCATTCACTCTCCTTACCAACCTGTTACCGCAATGAACTAGGCAACACACTGCCACCTGTGGATTCTAAAGAAATGGATACTACAGGCGCGAATCCATGCACTGCCTGGTGTTAAATCCAACCCCCCTCCCCCACCCCGTGTGTCGGATTGTCTGCGTAGTTGTAAACAACAGCGGAGTGAAAACAAGAGATGTTGGGCAATGGTCACCTGTGTTCTGTGGGCATGTACACCTTACAGTGGGATTGTTTGCCGGCCTCATTGCCAGGGACGAATGGCGCCAAAACGTCAATCATAATTAGTCCATTGTCCAATGAGACGCGGTCACATTGGGCCGCGACAGGCCCTCTTTGTAGTCGTGTCACTTGTTAAGGTGTACATCTTTTATTCCCGTGCTCCCCGGGTCGCGTTTGGCGGGGTCGTCTTTCTGGACTCTGGGTCTTCCGTGACCCGTGTCGCCGGCCACCTTACCGCTGCCTCCAGCCAAGTGACAAGGCTATACGTCACTCTCCTCAACCCAAATAGGCTTGTTCTTGTCGTGCATAGCCTCTACCAGGCACCGCGGATCGCTGGAAAAATTGTACAAATTGGCCGAAATAAAGGAATAATATACCAGGGGAGGTAGCCGGCCAGAGAAGATCCAATTCGCGACCCACAGGTCAATTTCTACTATTTTTACAGGTATCCGCGGTGCCTGGTAGAGGCTAGTCGTGCAGTTACTGAACTGGACTGCATCTATTCTATACATCCCTGGGAGCTATTTTTCCCTTGTGGACGCCAACCGGCCTGGGCTTTTGTTTACTCGTCAACAGACCGTTGCCTCAGGCTCAGAAAGGGTGCTGTCATCCTGCACAATTACGTCATTTTACCTTCTGCGCGTGCGTGGCTGAAATTGGCTGACAAAACATAATCCACGCTTCAGTTCCCATACATTAGGCGACACCATGCACACGTTTAGCAGTCGGAGTGACCTCTCTTTATACAGAACGTCGGTTTACTGGCGTAGCAATCATTAAGGTACACCTTGCAAATTGTACAGGTAGATTTTAGTAGCCTCCATAGCATGCCAAAAACTGGGGGTCTTCAGGGTCTTTGGGATCTTAAAGGTGCTATTTTCTGATTACATATAGGCATGGTTGAATTATCCCCGTTAGAACTGAGCTGATCAGAAAACAGCCGAAGACCACGAAACCTCCAGTTCTATAAGCCTGCTACGGAGGCTAGATTTTTAGATACTACAAGCTCTGAACCTTGTATTCAGGTCAAGGAGGGCAGTTTTAGCCGGGGTTGTATTGTTCACAGTACAATTCCACCACCTGCGTACAATGCATATACTACACAACGCTTGCAAAAACACGGGGTAAAAAAAAATAAGACCCCCGGTATACGGTAGTGCATGTACAGTATTGTAGTCGCTATACACCGGCAAACATGCGGTATGGACACATGACTTGCACCCCTTAAATAGTACAGAGCACTTTGCAATGAAGTCTGCAGTTTTACCAAAAAGGTACACGTTGTTGGACGTAGTGATTTTTCCCTCGCCTATTCTTATCTCTGTTATTTTACATTATCATTAATTACAAGGCTGAATGTTGAACGTAACTTCATGATCATTATCATACACCACTGAACACAGTAGTCAGGTCCATATGTTCATACAGTAAAACATAGAGACAAAATAAAAACAACGAGGGTAGAAAAATCAACTGTAACGACAACTCCTATCTAATACTACTGGCTGAGGTGAACGGATTTCAAATGAGGCACTGCAAATGGATCGTCAGGTCCTGACAATAAGAGTAGCTTTAGACTACAGTAGTTCACATCATACGAGCATCCAGCCCACGGTTCCGTGGGAAATGAAATAATACACCATCGTTGTAATCCACCTAATAAAACTTAAAAGTAAAAAGATAAACTTAAACTCTATCGATACGTTTGAAACATATTTACAATCGAAGCAAGACTGGCAATACAGATGAAACTGAGCTGACAACTAATTTGAATCAGCTCCACGGCTACTATGTACTTCTCTCAGTGTTGTGGCACTCTCTCATGTCTCTAGTATCACTCTGTCATTATGTGCCGTGTCTCTTTCTCCTTCACGCCTTTCTAAGTTTTTTTTCACGCCTGTACCTAAACTGCAATCTCCGAGTAGATGCATGGTTTGTTCTTCTGTGCGTTTTTACGTTCGTTTTGTAAACATAGCATGATACCAGAGTGCGAACCAATACCTCCAGTGGAAGAACGCACAGGCTGAATGACATACAAAACGGACGAAAATACGCACAAAATATGGCGAAGCCATGTATCTGCTTGAAAATTATATAATCTGTAGGTCAGTAGATATTATCATGGCAGTGAGCTATGCTTCAATAGCTGCTGTTTTCGGCGTGTGTAGAACCCAACCGATGCACACTTTCCCTGTACAGTTCCTAGCATAAACGTCGGTCCTAATCCCTGCTCTGTTGCCTCTTTCTCTTCCCGCTACGACCCCGGCGCCTTCGCTGTCGTCTCTGCGACTTCTTCTCTCCCTTCTCTCCCCTTCGCCGGTTCTTCCGCTTCCCTCCCCTGCCACGGGTAGTGCGGGGATCCTCTAGCCTGGACTCGTTGTGCCGACTGTTGTACCGCTTACACTTGCACGATCTGATCACTCGGATCGGGTACGACCTCATCTCGCCGTTCTCACAGATCAAGTCTACTTTCTTGGTGCGTACCTGGTCGTTCAGACAGCGCCACTCGCGCACCTTGTTTGTGGACCAGTACTTCTCAAATTCGGCGTAGTCGGGAAGCAGCCTTGTTGGGAGACACTGGCCTGCGCAAACCACCTCGTTGATCGGGCGAACACTCGTGCAGAAACCGTCAGAGATATATTTCTTACTCTTGAGCTCGCGACACCCCATCTGCAGGTCTCCTGCGAAAGGCAATGTAGGACGAGGTTAGCTCGTATCACCTGTAAGCCCCCCCCCCCTTAATTCAAGCACTTCTCCATGCAAATTGGGGCGACCTGAGCATGCATGCAGACATTTTGTCACATTTTACCTACCTGATGTTTCCCTTCCCTATTCAAAAAGATCTAGCTAGCTAGCGTATTTGCTAGACTTATGTAAGAAGTGGTCTAAACACAATTGTCGCTGACGTGACAGACGAAAATTTGACAGGCCACACAATGGAAAGTATTTTCCCCTCCAAACCGCATTAGCGATGTGACAAAAATAACCCGGTGTGTGCAGTCTAACGGTAGTAATGTTACTTTCATGAGCTCGGATCATGTTCCAGAAGTGGAACGCCTGCAAGACGCAAATATTATGCAACTGGACACAATACAGTGTATTTTCACAGGGAAGAAATAGACCATACCTCCCACGCATTTCGAGTCGCGTTCCTCTTTTTAGGAGAGGGGGGGGGGAGTTGTTTATATGCTAGCTTCCAGTGTTTGCGTAAAGAAGGCTCCATTTCCACACTGGTCTCAAGAATCATGTGGGTATACACCAGCGCTAGTGGAAAATCCACGGGTCCCCGACACACCTACACCTTTCTGGTGCTCTCTCTACCTTTCCTGTGGCAGCCTAACGCCCCTTTTCACCCACCTGGATTGTACTTTTCTTGCGGCGTGACTTCGATGTCAGGCTGCGGCACAGGGTGCTCTCTGTTCGAATTCGCCCCCAGGCTCTCTGTGCTCTCGGTCTCCGACATGTCTACCACGGCTCCCCGCGCAGGAACGGCCACACTCCATATCGCTAGAACCGCGATCGTCCCCCACAGGGGAGCTAGTCCTCGCCGACGCTGATGCATCTAGTCGTAGGAAGAACGCTCGTGCAGAAAGCCACGATGCAGGGCCAGGATAACCTACTCAAAAGCGCGGGAAACTACGGGCTGTGAGTGACAATAAAAACAACAATCACGCACGGTGTGACTTGGGCGGGGCGGAGTCTCCTCTCTACTGCGACAAAACTTGTCAACTTCACCCCCTAGTGGCGCCACCAATGACGAGCGCGCCCGCAGGCAGCCAATCGCCCGCCTCCTCCCTCCGTCGGTGGTTCCAATATCCACAATACCTGACAGCTCAACAATGGAAATGCACAATATGTGGGCGGGGCCTCCGCCTGTCAATTATCCAACACACGGGCTGTGCTTGAGCACTGACCCCGAAAAGCAGAACGCAGGCTCTCACTCACTGCACGGTGACGTATGGCTATCATATAGCTCGCCACTTAATGATTTCATTCACAAGCATGCAGGGAAGTCGACGACGAGCGGCCAGTTGGGTAGAAGTTGTCGCAAGCGAGATTGCAAAGATTGCAACGTGGAGTAGTTCTAAGCAGGCTGGAATTAAGTTTGTTCTGTCAACTGCCTAATCAGGCTTGTCAGTCGCTCGCGGCGGTTAACCGCAAACGCGTCACAAAAGAAACGGACAAGGCGCAGAATGGCTGGTCTTTAGGAGAACTGAGGCGTGTTCGAGCGATATTATGGCCTTGTGAGCTACCTAATTATCGCCTAAATCATGCTTACGTGGACAACCCTTGGTGTGCGTGTGTGCGCGCGCGTGTGCTTTTTGTGTGCGTGTGCATGCGCGGATGCATGTCATGTGCATGTACGTGTGCGTGTGCATGGCCATGGTCAATTTTAATTGAAGAAGACCATGATATGTATGTCAAAATCACTTGCATATTCATATTCTAGGGACTAGGGACAGAAATTTATTCATAAATTCGTTCCTTATCGTAGATCACCAGACAAAGCCATGGATATTGCCTCCTTACGTCTTCGAAGAAAGCCCTCTGACGTGAAAGGCCTAGGCCTTGTGCGTTTGCCTATCTTGACACGTACAACATGCACAAAGACCTGTTCCATCGGCTAACAGGTTTTGTAAGGCTGGATGTAATGACGGTTTGCCTGAGGGTGCTCGTGCGCGCGAACTTTTGCGGTGAAGTCATGATGCCGGAAATTAACCCACTTCAGGTACAAGCAGGGGTTTAGGCTTTGGCTTAGTTTTGGCGCGTTTTAGACTTTTTTATCGAGCTTTCTTTTTTACACTAGTATCGTGCTGCCCCGACGGCTGACTAAGCTATGGGAGAGAGTGAGAGAGTGATTTGCGAAAAGAAAATACCAGTGCAAAAAAGAAAGCCTAGAACGCGCCAAATATACGCCAAAACCCAAACCTCTGCTTGGAGAGTAGGAAATTAAGCCACTTCAGGTACTACTCTACGAGCTGAGGTTATAGGCTTAATTTTGACACGTTTTAGGCGCTTTTATCAGGCGTTTTTCTTTCAATGGTATCTTTGGTCAGCCAAATTTAACGCGTATTGGCCCTGCCAATGATACTAGTACTGTCTTGCCGGTTTGATACTGTCTTGCAGCGCCAAAATATCTGGACAAAAAGAAGAAGAAGACAAGAAGTTAGTCCAGAAAACAATGCAGTCAAGTGTAGCCAAATTATTTTACTTTAATACTCAATGAAAGGAAAATACAGAACATATACTAGTATGTTACTACGTGCGCCAACTTCTAAAGGTACATTTGCATAGATAAAACATCCGTATCGGAATGACGCTGAATTGAATAGCGGATATGTAACAAACAATGTGCGATGTGCAGATACGATCAAAGTTACTATAAATTCCGGCAAGTGGTGTATATGTGAGTGTAACAGACTTTTGGCAGCCTTGAGTTGCTCATGAATTGCAGCCGCGATATATCCCTATATGTAATTTTGTTAAACAATTTCTCTGTATTTTCAGTGTACAAAAATATTCATAATTTTACTTGTGGACTCCTTTATAGAAATTAGACACGTATGAAATTCCTACCCTTCCATAGAAAGCAACTTAATAAGTTTTATGCATACCTTCGCGAAAGAATGCTATCGTTTATGACTGATGAATTATAAGTTTCTCAATGATCATGCATTTAAGATCTTCATTTGCATAAGTCATATCAATGGTGCCCGCATGATTAAGATAGCGTTTGAACTATTAGTGATAAATCTTAGCCTCCACCAGACCTTCCTACGGGGGTAAGGATCCTAGAATTCGGTAAAAAATGCAAATATCCGTAAATAATTTCATCAGGTTGGTAAACGACTGAATAGCAAAGTTCTTTCTATCACAACACTAGTGTCAGTGCACAGTAAACCAGTCAGAATTGTCCTGATGAGGATGACAGAAGGTCATCGAAACATTGGCTTGAAAAATAAATGGTTTTGATAGAAAGAACTTTGCTATTCAAAATGGAAATAGTTTGCCAGGAGAGTCAGTCCACGGGAGGGTTAATTTCATCTGCGCGGGCAAACTCCCCTGGTCAATTTAGTATATAGTAGAGGGCATTCATTCCTCAAGCTACCGACATCTTGCACACGCAGTCGTCCCTCAGTGAGACATCTGGAGCCGCACAGTTCCCGCTTAGAACTTTTATTCAGCCTGTCACACGACCGGTTTCGCCTGTGTGGCTTCTTCAAGTGTACAGAGGCTAATGACACAAGTGCATGAAGTTCTCACTTTGTCTGTGTGACAGGCTGAATAAAAGTTCTAAACGGGAACTTTGCGGCTCCAGATGTCTTACTGAGAGACGACCGCGTGTGCTCTACTATATATCCCCTGGTCAATTTAATTATTCTCCCTATTGGCTTAATTTTACTGTTTTTGAACCTATGTTGTTATTCTGGTAGAGACTTGATCAATGCATAAAAAGACAAACACGTTTTTCTTTTTGGCTGTCTCTGGTGTAGAAATTTTCCTGTGTTAAAACACTTGGCATCTGTTTTCCCGGGTCATGTTAGCGCTAGCCCCGCACTGAAACGCCTGGGCGAACTCCCTAGTGTGTTGGAGCACGCCGAACACCCTGAAACATACAATAGATACACAGAAATACATCAAAATACTGATACTGGTATATACTATAGGTAATATTATCAGAATACCGTTACTTGTATGTAGGTACGTGTAATATCAAAATACGGTACCCGGCCGTATGTAGGTAGCCTCTACCAGGCACCGCGGATCGGTGGAAAAAATAGTAGAAATTGGCCGAAATAAAGGGATAGTATACCAGAGAAGATCTCGGGCCATAGAAGATCTTCTCTGGTATACCATCCTTTATTTCGGCCAATTTCTACTATTTTTCCAGCAATCTGCGGTGCCTGGTAGAGGCTAGTATGTAGGTAATATTCAAGCATTTGTTTGACATGATGTGATTTGTGGTGTTTTAAGACAATTCACCGGAGGCTATTGTACCCAGAACCGTGCCTATCTAGTGCTAACTATGTCTGATGGGTTAGATATATGGTTGATAAGGCACGGTTCTGCATACAGCACTGTTCTAGATACGACAGGGGACAACAACTTTCATGTATGCAAACGATACGATCTAACATGCCTAACACAGTTAGAAACATAAATACTACAGTGAACATAGCAAAGTATGTAGTCTGGAGGACATGGTGTGAGGGATAGAAAGATGTGAACGGTCTATCACTAGTCCACATGTTTAGAGATGAGGTTAAAATATTTTTTCAACTAGGATTTGGACAACTGATGTAATGATGTTTATGTTTTTAGATATTTTCTCACTGTACCGTATGTAAGTGTCTTTTGTAAGTGATGTATGTATCCATTGTAATAAAGAAATAAAAAAAGATACGATCGGTTTTACAAACCGACGAACAAAACACAAACGGCCAGATACATTATACACCACCATTACACCTTTGGCGGTTGAAGGCTAGAGTTAATACACAGAAACGAGGCCTCATAAAAGTACTTCCCCACATTTCAATCTCAAGAATTCTTCTGCACCAAAAGCACACAAGGGTCTGCCTCCCAAATATACAAAGAAAACACAGGAAGTTGACCAGCTCAAATTCCGAGAACACTTGACAACAATAAACCAACACTACCCTTGGCCATAGTTTAGACCCTACCTGTTTTTCTAGCCAAAAGTATCTAAACTGGACCAAAATTTTCAACATAGAAATGATTTTTCAAAGATCTTAAGTAAGAACCAAAGAATTGGCACTGTGCAAGGTAATGTTAATGTCAGTCCCAAACCATGAAAGGCATCCAGTGCAGTTTTTAGGGCTTGGAAACCCGATTTTTCAGAGTCAATATTTTAGTCATTTACCTACACACTGAGTTGACACCATACTATCCCAATGTATATTGACCCTCGTCGAGCAAAAATTCCCAAAATTCTGACGGAAAATGGTTACTGGAAGGGCCCTGGGCTGATTTTTAGGGTACCACCCAGAAAATAAAAGACTCATCTTGGGGCTTGTTTCTGCAGTTTTAAAAGCCCAAAGTATGAAATACTGACTCAAGTGTGCTAATGTGAAACAGTATGTGTCAATATCGCAAAGATTGCCTTATTCAGAATATTTCCAGTTTTGCTGCCCTGAAATCGCATTGGATGTTCACGAAACGCACCTGACGTCTTCGGGCGCAGATCCGAAGGCCACCGTCTGGCGCCACCTACCGATGAACGTGTTAGCTGCACAGTACATCTGAGGAGAGAAAACAATAGACACAGTTCATACATAGGTTGAACAATACACAGGATGCTTTTAGCCTCTACCAGGCTTGAGGAGGCGGCTGGAAAGAGTTGAAATCGGCCAAAATAGAGAGATAAGCATGCCAAGGGAGTTTGGCCGTTGAGAGAACAGTGGGGCGGCGAACTGTTCTCTCAATGGCCAAACTCCCTTGGCATGCTTATCTCTCTATTTTGGCCGATTTCTACTCTTTCCAGCCGCCTCCCCAAGCCTGGTAGAGGCTACAGGATGCTATCTTAGGCACTCATCTGTTTACATACCGTCGCAAGTGAACAATAGTAGACTTGTTCTGGCCGCTGCTGGCATTGAAATGTAGCCTGCAGACCGATTTGATCTCATGAATAAAGACTGGTCCAAACAAATGTCCAAATTGCGTACTCTCCAAGCAGAGGTTGGTGGAAGATCGTTTGCTTTTTATATATGGCCTTTTTTGTCGCTACCACCAACTTGGGTGGGGAAATGGATACAGACTGACCAATTTGATACTGTCTTACCCCCACCAAAAGATCTGCTTGGAGATTTGGAGATTACAAATTGCGATCTTCAACCTTAAAACCAGCGTTACGTTTATGAGTCTTTGGGTGCTCTTTAAGGTTGAAATTGTTGTCAATGGGAGCTAATCTTTCAATGAATTTTTATGCTTAAGACAGGTTAAAAATTCATGACCAAAAAAAACTTATTTTTACCTAGAACCATAGTAGAGTGGAACTCGCTGCCACCACTGAGTAGAGTATGGGCACCATCACTAGATAGCATCATCACTAGATATACAGAGTTAGATATAGATACAGACCAAACCCTCTACTATGCTTTTGTCAAATGTTTTCTGCTCTTTTATGATAGTCAACACCTAACCGCATGTACCTTACCTGAGCGTACGCCAGGAAGAACGCCTGGTCACTTAGCTGTGTTCCACAAAAACGTCACTGCAGTTCCTTAACAAGCTGCAAGGGGGACCAAACCTATACCACTTTTTTGTCTGACTGTTGTGTCCTTACGATATTTCGGTGGCCAAACCTAACCGCATGTATCTTACCTGTGCGTACGCCAGGAAGAACGCCTGGTCACTGCCTGTGTTCCACAAACCCGGTGGGAGCTTCTCTCGTCCGTACTCCCGTTCCCAGTCTTTATATGTCTGAAGGCACGAAAGAGAAATACATGTACCATGAATCTCAATTTATACTAAATTATAGCAGTAAGGGTAGGTTAGTGGTCAACTAGCGATGTAACAGCACGCTTTAGATGGCTTCGTTTCATAGGTGATACACAACATGGCATGTTAAGTTATGTAAATTCTAAATCAAAATCAATTGTGCAGTGTGTTTCGAAATGTGTTTAAGTGCTTTATTCACCATGTAGGCTAGGCGTAGTCCACTTGTTTCTGCTATTGCGGTTGCCGCTATACGGGCTCCTTGAACGGGATACTGCAAAAAAGTAATGAAATGCACATAATATAGTACTGTAGCTTCACTTCAGGGATGGGGGAGTTTGGGATGATGGGCAGAGTTCCAAGTTTACAAATGTACAAGGAACAAGTATTTATCTGTTTTATGTATATCAATTTCCGAAAAGTGTGATACAAAATGGCAAAACCCTGCATACAGTAGAGACATATGTTAAATCAATTCAACCTCCTTGGTTAAATCTGGACCTGTGGGGACGGGTGGCGTAGCGGCAGGGTGCACCACTCGGAACCAAGAGGTCCCGGGTTCGAGTCCTGACATTCCACCGATCTTTCGCCCTTGGGAAAGGCACTTTACATGACTTTCCTCACTTCGCTCAGGTGAAAATGAGAATTGTCCTGTCATGTATTTGTCCCGTGTTGGTGGCGGCATTAATATAAGTTGAAAAAACACGTCCTGTGATTACATGTTGGAATTTATAAAAAAAAATCCGGACCTACCGGGTCTGTTTCGGGATACGCCTTGACCGTCATGTTCCCGTAGTACTCCGACACGCAGGTTTTCTGCGGTGCGTAGTTAGTTCTGGTGTCTTCACTCCACCAGTCACTGGACGCCCCGTCTATACCATAATATCCCCCAACCTCGTCTATGGCGTTGATGACCTCTCGACCAATGATCGTGCCCGCTGCAGCGAAGTTCATATATCTGTCGGGGTTGACGACAACAACGATTTGAGCAAAGTTATTACTTCTTTGCACTGCGCGTAAAAGGGGTAAATGCCGGGTACGTCCGGCCAAGGTTGCTTTAGACATTCAATTCTTCAAACAAGAATCATCGGTTTTATCCGCCATCTATTGCCTGTCATTGTTAACGCAGACATACCAAGCGCTTCGAACAGACTCTGTACCAAAATATGGGATTTACATGTACAGTCGCATACATGACTTGGCATATATCGTCATTGGAAAATCCCACTTTTCATGCATGTTAGATTTGAGAAGACTTGCCCCAAGCACGTTTCTGTACATATAGAATACAACACGGTGTATTCCGTATCGCCCGAGGTACCAGCCCGACCACGCGTCGGATCGCCCGAAGGCCGGAGGGAGATTCGATCCGCGGGAGGGCTGGGACCGAGGGTGATGCGGATTACACCGTGTTGTATTTTATTTATGTCCTACCCACCCAAGAAAAAGCGCCTTTCAATGCGAAATGAGCCAAAATTTGGTGACCCTAAACCCCAAAAATGCGACAACATCAATTCCAACGTCCGAATTTTGTATTCGAATTTCGAAATCGGTGCACGCGGTTAGGCCGAAATGCGTTCGAATCGTTCTATGGAAAATTTGGAAGCCCCGGGCCGTACGCGTTAAGAACCCCCGGGCTGTACCGCTAGTTATCACACGGGCCGGAACACCCGTATCGAACGTAATCGCGGCCCAGGTAGGACATAAACGTAAATTATCCGGAACTGTGCTTGAGCATGTTTCTGCTATTGACAAAGTACAAGACGAGTGAACCATGAATTAAGATCGAACTACAGTAAAGTGTGTAAATGTTCACTTACTGAGGGTGCCTAGCGTCGTATATGGGGAACTGCAGGATACCAGCAGGGAACACTGGAATGCATTGAAAATCTCTGTTAGAAAATGAATAATAGACTAGATCTTACTTTAATCTACATGAATTTACAGAACATACAATCTAAACTGAAGAACTGAACATCTCAAAAACAGTTCCTTACCTAGTTCGTTGTATGAATACAGGTAATTTCCAAATGTGCTGTAGGTTTTCACGTCCCATCTGTAAAAAAGTAAGAAACAAATTCTTTCAACTTCTGACATCCAACAAGGTCTACTTGATATAAATTATGCAAATCCGGGCTCACTTGCATAATAGATGAGAAAATGCTACAACAGCCTTTAAGATAAGTTTTCAAACGTTGGACATCTTGTGCCATTTTGGTGTAGAAGATAATCAACTGGTATAATTCATGCAAATCTTTTTAAACAAAGTAAACCGATTTAGAGAAAGTATCTAGTTTAGAACTTTTCTTTCACAATGAAACTGCAAACAAAACGCCCTGGCCACAAACCCTTACGATAATAGCATCAGTACTTACTCGTAAAGATGTGTTTTCTTGGCCAGTCTCCTCCCATAGTAAGTCCTCCTGTAGCCCGCAGCGTTTATAACGTTGGCAAAGTGATCGGTATAGTTCACCGTCAACTGTGGGGTAAAACAAAAAAAAAGAAACTTAGAGAAAGCAGGTATATTGGCGATGATTGATTCACATTCTTTTCATGTTTAACTTCGCAGCCCGAAAACATTTTTTCTGTTTCTTTTTTTTTTGTCCAAACATATTAGGTCAATGGCCTAGACCAGACGGCAGTCACCATGGTAACTGGTGCTGTAGTAGACACTCTGTTGTGTTTGACTACATTCTGTAGGAAGTTAGAGGGTCTCGTCACCATATATATGACGTGTTTTAGTAAGAATAAACATCTGTCTATTTGGTCGATTTCTACTCTTTCCAGTCACCTCTGACGCTTGGTACAATGGTAGAGGTTATTTTACGTAAATATCAGCTGAAATAATGTACTCACCCCCGTGTAATAATCGTCCAGTCCACTGTCATCCAGCAGGTCTAGTGGATAGCCCAGACTGTCTTTGATGCTGAGGATCTGTCAAAAATGATAGCAGCCCATGCATGGCTTCATCGGATTGGAAAGTCATCGGAAAGTAAAGCTCTTTTGATAAAATCATAAGCAATACACTAGGCCCTGATTTCGATGAAGGCGGCTCTTGCTTTGGCGATACATTAGAAGGTGATAAAATCATTGTAAAGGTTTCAGATGTTGACAAAATTTTACTTATTCAAACAAATCGTCATTGCACAATGCTCAATGTTGTACCCCCACAATTGTACAATTCCTGTGACACTAGAGATGTAAGGAATAGGAATTCTAAAACCTTCGACCACGGTTCTGGATAGTCTCCGATCCGTGTATCTAACAACGTAGAATTGGAGGCACGGCTCTGGATGCGCCTGTGAGTCTGTCTATGCCTGAGCATAGTTCTGGATTAAGCACGGCTTTGGATTCACAACTTTTCTAACCTTAGCCTTGGCCGCCTCCCTCGTGGCCTGGTCCATCCAAGTCACCTGGTTCAGTTGGTCAATGGCCTTCTGCTTGATTCTCATGGCGAGTCCCTCAATCTGCGGCAGAAAAAAAGGCCATATAAATACGTATCATCTCAACTAGGACATTTCTCCTCCACGTCCACAATGTCGTACGTTTCGTAGTACCGTAGTAGCTTTTGCTTCGTTCAGTCTTCATCACCACTTCATGATTAGCCTCTACTAGAGTTCAGAAGCGGCTGGAAAGTGTAGAAATTGTTTTTTTTTTGTAAACATCATACACACATAAGAAAACACACCTGTCCTTGGTGCTGAACACCATCCACACACATAAGAAAACACACCTGTCCTTGGTGCTGAACACCATCCACACACAAATAGACCTGTCCTTGGTGCTGAACACCATCCACAAACAGGCAAACACACCTGTCCTTGGTGCTGAACTCCATCCACAAACAGGCAAACACACCTGTCCTTGGTGCTGAACACCATCCACACACAAACACACCTGTCCTTGGTGCTGAACACCATCCACACACAAACATGCCTGTCCTTGGTGCTGAACACCATCTACACACAGGCACAACCCACACACCTTTTTTTTGGGGGGGGGAGTCAATCATGTGTCAAGTCCAATTTCTTGTGTTCAGTACAAACTTGCTTTACAACAACAAAAGCTCTATGTTGAAATTCATAGGAAATAAGTAATGCGCTAACATTGGCTTTGTTGTCGTCAGCAAAGTGGTCCCTGATAAAGAGAGAGCCGAGCGCCCAGCCCATGTTGGCGTCGGTAAACTGGAAACAGTAGCGCCACGTTCCCAGAAACTCTTCTCTACCGGTAACAGCCACGTAGAACTCCCGGTAGGCGTGGATATAGTCCCAGGACAGGTGCTGATGGTACACCAACATCAGCCGCCATAACATGTAGTTGTGGAACATCCTGGCAAAACAAAAATATGCAATGATTTCAGCAAAACACATGGCATTACATGGCAAGAGTCATAAGGACACCATGAAAAAAAAGTGGTCTAGATGCTTCCGAAAGCAGGTTGGTATAACAAAGGATATTGGAGTTTTCTTTTACACAACCAGGAATGTACTGTATCTCACATACTTTAACAGGGCGATACAAACTTAGCCACGTTTGGTATTTCTTCACGCCACAAAAGCGCTACCTATAGCAATCAGAAGTTTTGATGAAAGTGTCTGCTAGACGTCGAAACGTAAGCAGGGTGAGAGTCTTTACTGGTTGTGAAAAAGAAGCCGCCAAAATCCAATAAACAATTTGCACAATCTAGTACACTTGCAGGATTATATAATTAAACGCTAAGAAACGAACCTGAGATTGCCGTTAGTCTGGAGACTGAGGATATAGTTAGACACTTGCACGATGTAGTCCTGATAGTACAGTAGCACCTCTGTGTCGTCTGTGATTGGTGTGGACGGGTCTGTGGCGACGTAGCTGAAGAAGTCCCGCCAGTTAATCTAGAATGTGTGAGATGATTTGAATGAAAGACCTTTATTCTTCATTTGCTATCATTTGCTATCATTAAAGCTTTAAACAACTCCTGCAGTTAAATGTGCAAAGATTGAGTGTAACAAGCCGTTCGGTGTGATATAGCTAGCTGCCGCCGCGCCGCGTGCCTGCGAAGCTGGCGTGTTACGCCGAAGGGCGGTTATACCGGCTATACAGATACAGATCATTTGAAACATTTAGCCTCTACCAGACTACGGGAGACGGCTAGAGAGTTTGCCGCACTCGAAAATGTACTCTCTATCTGACCAACTCCCTCGGCATGTTATCTCTCTATTTGACCGATTTCTACTCTTTCCAGCCGCCTCCCGAAGCCTGATAGAGGCTAAAAGATACCTACAAAACTGAAAACGTAATGATAATAAAACAATAAAGTTTATTGCAAAATCATGCCTAAGGACTAATTGCAAGAACATGATAATATAATAGTAAACAGTAAAAACGACCATAAAATTGTACTGCCAACGCTGCTTCTAATATAGCCTATAGGTATTGTTGGTTTAATTTCTTTTCTGTGTGCTGTGGAGTATGAAATGGCCAACGGTTTGTGGAATACTACGAGTAGTATAAGAATTGGGGGTTGTTAATAGTCTTCATAATAGTCGTGGACGACTTACTGCTCCAGCTCTGGTCTGAAGGTCCCGGATGCTGATCCTGTTGTCCAGTGGGTCGCTTGATGAAGGACGTCCAGAGTTGAGATATCTCTACAGAACAACGTATGATACTTGTGTTAAAACTCATACATATTTAGTAACATGTGATTTTAGCGTACTTAGGGCTTTGCATTTTTTATTGTACGACCAAAATTTATCAACCGGTTCTCAAGTTATCCTCCCTCAAACGCAGTTCCATACAAAGGTGCTAGGGGGTGTAGGTAGAATAAATGATGTTTAACATAATTAGATAGCAATTCAGTGAGTAAGTACTTTTCGTATATTTCACATTCAGTTTATTCTATCAACCTACGTTTGCCAGTTCCGTCTCGAACGCTGTGACATCGTTGACAAACGTCAGGATCTTGGCTTCGTTAGGAAACTGCCCCTGGTCCCGGACTAGCAGACGGGCGATGGTGTCCAGTAGGGTGCGGTAGGACGCCAAGGCCTGGAAAAACGGACAGCCTTCGAGTTAAGGTAATAGATGAAGGAAGGAAGGAAGGAAGGAAGGAAGGAAGGAAGGAAGGAAGGAAGGAAGGAAGGAAGGAAGGAAGGAAGGAAGGAAGGAAGGAAGGAAGGAAGGCAAAAAAGAAAAAGAAAGAAGAAAGAAAGAAAGAAAGAAAGAAAGAAAGAAAGAAAGAAAGAAAGAAAGAAAGAAAGAAAGAAAGAAAGAAAGAAAAAGAAAGACAGAAAGGAAGGAAGGAAGGAGTCAGTGAAGGAATGAATGAACCGATGAATGAATGAAGACATTTATTGTACATACATACATATGCATACCCACAGGGTTAAGTACAGGCCACAATAACAATAGCTTGTATATACATGATCAAGCTAGCACTAGCCCCTTCGTTAGACCATGGAGGTAGAAAAGAGATATAAACCAAACTCTCTCACCCGCTGGTACACAGGCGAGGTGGTTCTGATGTACACAATCGCATTGAAGATCAGGCCTGAGCGACCAATCTGCAATTGGAAGATATTATTATTATTATAATATCGTTAAGGTATAGTTACATCATTCTAATCTTTGCTGGCCCAGAGTAGCCTATACCAGGCTTCGAGAGGCGGCTGGAAAGAGTACATGTAGAAATTGGCCAAGTAGAGAGATACGAAACATGCCAAGGGAGTTGGTCTGCTAGGGAGTGCGGTAAGCTGTACGTTGGTATGGTGTGTCATCTCTCTATTTGGCGAATTTGAAGTCTCTCCAGTTTCCTTCCGAAGCCTGGTAGAGGCTAGCCTAGAGGTCGCTCAGTGGTGCAGCCTCTAGTGTATTAATATGGATCTGCAAACAAACGTAGGTTGACGTGAACTGTTTTGGAATTCCTAGGTCTGTTTAGTTCTGACACTTCATACGTACGCATGCTTTGACAAGTGAAATGGAGCCAATATTTGCCCCTGTTCACGTTGTTTATGATCCCACGGTAGCTTGACAGGGGGCGTAATGTGTACATGGTCAACAGTTGGTGCTGCTTGGTGGCAAGGTGTTCTTGTGGTTAGGCTCAGGATCTGAAGGTTCTGGGTTCGAATCCCTGGCACAACCCACTGTTATGTGTCCTTGGAAAAGGCACTTCACACCAATTTTCCTTACAAAGCTCACTTGAAAATGAGTGTCTAGCTTCGGTTAGGGCCATTTGCACACAAACGCGCTCATACACAAAAACAGTCTCACACACTTACATACAAACAAACACGCATAAACTCACTCACACAGACACACACACACACACAAGCACACACACAAACAAACACATACACAAACATACATACACTGACACACACAAAGAGAGACACATACACAAGTAACTACGTCATTAAGAATCGAAAAAAAGTTTTATAACTGAGGGTCAATTAGTGTTTGAGTGCTAACGCAAATACAGCACTTCACGTGTCGGTAAATTACCCCTATTTAAGGCTGCTACTGAGTCAGACTACAGAGAAAATGACAAGCAACTACGGCCCACTTTACACACACCATTTCGACTCAGCGAAGTCGACTTGAAAATTTTCTGTTTACTCACGGGGCTGCAAAGCGACTTGGCATTCCCGCTGTGCCACCCTCCCCCCAAGTCGACTTGGTGGGTCGGTTTTGCCTCACTACTACGCAGAGACGCTCAAGTCGACTTCGCCCGTTTACACACGCAAAGCTAGCAGACTCAGCACCCCGCTGGCCGACTTAAGTCTGGTTTGGATACAACTCAAGTCGTCTGTATTAGAATGCGACTCCAGTTGAATTATTTCTTTTTACACAGGGAGATTTTCACTCAAGTCAACTAGCTCAAGTCTTCTTGAGTTCTAGTCGCCTTGAAAGAGTTATGTGTAAAACAGGCCTATATCTTTACCAAAAGCAGACTAAGGCCTGCTTTACACATAACTTTTTCAAGTCAACTAGAACTCAAGACGACTTGAGCAAAAATTTCCCTGTGTAAAGAGAAATAATTCAACTCAAGTCGCATTCTAGTCAAGATGACTTGAGTCGTATCCAAACCAGACTTAAGTCGGCTAGCGGGGTGCCAAGTCCGCTAGCTTCCCGTGTGTAAACGGGCGAAGTCGACTTGAGCATCTCTGCGTAGTAGTCAGGCAAAACCGACCCACCAAGTCGACTTGGGGGGAGGGTGGCACAGCGGGAATGCCAAGTCGCTTTGCAGCCCCGTGAGTAAACAGAAAATTTTCAAGTCGACTTCGGCGAGTCGACTTAGAAATGGTGTGTGTAAAGTGGGCCTTAGATTCGGCCCGAGGAGGCCTCCGCTGGCATATTATCTGAGTGTCCATTTGGCCACTTTTTTTACTCTTTCCAGCCGCCCCTCACCTACCCTTATGATGTTATTGGACCTGTCTGAGGTTTCCACGGCCGTACCAAGAAAGTGTTGATCCAGTAATCTTTCTGACTACTACCTGAAAGACAACTGAAATCTTTCTGACCGCCGTGTTCATGTTTTAAACCTCCTTGCAAATGACCGCCGGTGACCCCGAATTCGAACACGCGCTCTGTTCGAGTGACGTCGGATCGAACACGGTTCGGGTTCGAAAAACAATCTGGGGCCATCGTGCCGAAGCACAGAGACACACAGTAGTTACATGTTTAAAGTTAAAACTTTTGATCCAACACAAAGAAATCTCTCACTCTGGTCTTCCTCAGTAGACGGGGGCCGACATCGTCTACCAGATACCTTTGACCCAGTGTTGACGTCGCACTTCAAAGAAGCCACGTGACAAGCTTCACTGGGTCAGTCTACTGAGGAAGACCAGAGTGACTGGTCGCAAGCTCTAGGTGAGAGATTTCTTTGGGTTGGATCAAACGTTTTAACTTTAAAAACGTTAGAGGCTATCACCTACACTTATGATGTTCTTGGACCTGTCCGAAGTGTCCACGGCTGTACCGATACTGAAGAAGGTGTTGATCCAGTAGTCCAGGTGGATTTTTCTGACCGCCGTGTTCATGTTCCAACTCGCCTCGTCCCAAGTGTTGATGACGTACCAGCCGCCAAGCTGCTGGAGGACGGCCAGGAGAGGGTCGCCCTTTAGTTTCTCCTGAAACCGGGGAAGAACATTGTATCTTTACATTAACTCTTCAATAAGTCTTCAAAAAGTCTTAAATACACCACATACGTACATGCACGACACACACACACACACACACACACAGCCGCCTAGCTGCTGGAGGACGGCCAGGAGAGGGTCGCCCTTTAGCTTCTCCTGAAACCGGGGAAGAACATTGTATCTTTACATTAACTCTTCAATAAGTCTTTAAAAAGTCTTAAATACACCACACACGTACATGCACGACACATACGCAGCCGCCCAGCTGCTGGAGGACGGCCAGGAGAGGGTCGCCCTTTAGTTTCTCCTGAAATCGGGGAAGAACATTGTATCTTTACATTAATTCTTCAATAAGTCTTCAAAAAGTCTTAGATACACCACACACGTAAATGCACGACACACACGCACACACACACGCGCGCGCACACACACACACACGCACACACACACACACACACGCACACACACACACACACATACATACACGCAGCCGCGCAGCTGCTGGAGGACGGCCAGGAGAGGGTCGCCCTTCAGCTTCTCCTGGCAGGGACAAGAATTGTAGCATGCTGGTAACTTTGTAAAATCGTGAAGATACACACACACATGTAGACACATACATCATGCACGTACAGCTGCTAGAGGACGGCCATGAGGGGGCACCTTTTAGCTTCTCCTGTCAGGGATGGGCATTGTACCAGTTTGTTAGGTCTCAAGTCTTCGACTCAGCCTCACATACACACACACACACACACACACACACACGCACGCACACACACACACACACACACATATTCACGCATTCACACACACACACACAGCCACTAAATACAAAGATACTTAGACGTACGCACTTGTTTCTATGTATAGTTGTAGAAGACCTTACGAAAGTCGTTGTACCTTTGTTGTGTAAATAAAGAATGGTGTATAAAACAAACAAGCACGCCCAATCACACAATTATAACAAATAACAAGAATAGTATCGGAATAAAGAGAGAATAAAAAGAACAGCTTTGCAAAATCTGATCGTGTATCGCCAACGTACCTGTCCGTAATCATCAAGACAGGACGTGAAGAAATGTTTGACTTTCCTCTCGAATGACGCGTCGGTGTCCCTCTGCACCGGCGACTCCAGTAGCAGCCGCAGTTTCTCCTCGTTCCTTTCCCGGATGTCGCTGAAAACCGTCCTGCCGTTAACCTAAAAATTTAAATCTTTTACCAATGGTAGAAATCGTTTATTTCAGTGCTGCAATGTTGCAGAATGTCAACATGTTGTTCTGCGATTCGGGAAAAACTACAGCCATAGACATAGAGGCCGACACCATTGAGCCCCTAGCCTGATTTTTCAGTTTGCAAACCTGTCAGCTGCAGGTTGCTTAATTTTTCCTCTGCGATACTGAAAATGTCTCTGCAAAGTGCAGACTGCAGGTGAGTATTTCTAATACGTACTGTTTACCTTTAAACTCAATCTCAAAATCACCTACCCCACTTGACATTATATATTAAGTCCCACTGCCATTGTATTATCGTTATTTTATGTTGAAAGATTACATTTTCGTTATCGTATGTATAAGATTATAGATTTAAACACTTATTTCCCGTATTCTTGGAATGTAGCCATGGGCCGTAATGGCTTTTTATTTTCCCGCATTAAATCCCGCAAATTTTGTTGTGCTTATATCCATTTCATTACTTTGCTATATGCGAATAAACAAACAAACAAGCAAACCTCCCAGGGGATGATGGGGTGGGACTTGATCCACCCTCCACAGGCGTACGAGTAGAAGTCTTCGCAGGGGTCAACCGACTTGTTCATGTTCTAGGTGGAAATGAGGGGATTTAAAATTCTGTCGTACAAACAATAAGAATGAATACATGAAGACCTTTATTGTGCATACAGACATACTTAGTCATAAGTACAGGTCACAACAAATTTATATAATAGTTCGTATATACATGATGATGATATACATGTAAGTTTCGCATACACTTGATCATAATTAAACTAGCACTAGCACCATGTGAGTACTATAGTCATCTGTGCACGTGATGGTGAAAAGGTAAGAAAAAGCAGACGTGTTTCAGAGGTTTGGCTAAGCTCACTCTTATTAACGTCCATCAAAGACAGGTAGAGTGGTTTATATATCGTTTATTGTACCCTTAAACTTAAGGGTCAACTACCGTATGGCTTTAACAATTTTGCTTTGCTGTACTTCCTTTAAACAATGGTACGCGAGTTAAAACGTCGACTGCACTCAAATAAACGACACCAACGCCATAAAACTGTTGGGCCCAAAACAATCGAAAAGTAGCCCCGGTAGACATGTACTTACAAACCTTCCCAGATTTCAAGCCAACACGCTTTAGATTTTACAAAAGTTATGGTCGGAAATTTAGGCAGTCTTCTTAGTACGTGACGTGATGATGACTCTTCAAAATTTTGACAGTCAACATGTCAACGTACTGCCAGAGTTTTCGACATAAAAAGGGCACAGAACCTCTGTGGCATGTTTCGAACAGCCGAATTTCTTGTTCAAAGGACGTTTCAGCTAGTAGATATGAGTGTCGAAATTACAATTAAAGCTCTGGAGGCGTGGTGAGTTTTCAGATGTGCTCAAGTAGTTTTCCTAGACAGCAAATTGCGCATACGGAAATATTGCGATTCAGATAGACTTACTAGTAACATGTTAGAAGCAGGCTCTAGACAGCTGGTACATGTATCTTGATCGCAGAACACTCGCGAACGTTTTAGCTTGTAGATTTGAGTGTCGAAATTACAATTAAAGCTTTAATAGGCGTCGTAACTTTTCAGACGTGCTCAAGTAGTTTTCCTATACAGCAAATTGCGCATACGGTAGCATTACTATTCAGACTTACCAGTAACATGTTAGATGCAGCATGCAAACAGTTGGCGTCGGTACAGGTGTCAGCCAGGACGGCCTGTGAAGACGACCCGGACGCTCCAATGCTGGCCGCCACTATAACCAGAATCAGTACCAAAACCAGAGCCACCAGCACAGCTCCTGACAGCAGCACCTCTCGCCTGGTCCAGCCGTGGATCACTGGTAGTCGCCAGAACGGAGAGGACAACAGACCGGGTGCCGACTGGTTCGCTTCTTTCCCCTGCTCCACAGGTGGTGGAACGATGATGTCCACATCGCTGGGCTTCATGCCACCGTCCCCAACCTCAAGCGACGCCATCGCGAGTTTCCAACTACACTGACGCGTCCAGTAGGTGGCAGAGGAGTCACTTGACTGGTGGAATAAATCTTTGCCGAGGTAAAACTAATTTGCTTAAAGGGGTGGTGGGTGCCACTCCGCGGCAGAACACGCACTTTATTACCCGTGTGCTTAACTCGGTTTGCTTCCCAAATTTACGAGTTCCTACTAGTAACTCAAATAAACTACTGAACTCTGTTTTCTTGGCTTTGGTTCTAAGACTATAACTGTGTTTTCACTAACCTTTCTTGGACTTTCACCGACGATCCAAGTATAAGTGATTAAAACCAGAAGTACAAGTGTGGTGTGAAGCTGGACTTGGATTATGAACTATTTGGCATGTTGGCAAGTCAGCCAATATCAGGCTAACCCGCGTCATGGTTGAGTAGCGTTCAACCGACGGGCAGTTCACCAGCTAGGCAATAAGCCAATATGCCTGGATTTAACAATGGTTTTGGGAGGTACAATATTTGATTTTACAGCCGTAAAAATTTCATTAGGTTGGTGAAAGATTAAATAGTAAAGTTCTTTAAAGTGAAGCCAACATTTGAGTCTGTGGATATTGTTATGAACAAAGCCCTTAATAATATATGTAGCTACAGGCTAGTTGGGCTGCCCTGGTTGTATTGTACCAGCCGAACCAATAAATAAATAAAAAGAGCTTTACTATTCAATGTTAGATTTCAATTTGGAATTCCAAGTTCAAGTGTTATTTTGCTACAGTTAGCCTGAACAGCGCATTTGAGGCCTTTAAAAAATGCATGCTTTTTGAGCGAAATTTACCATCCCGTCATTCATAATACATATACTAGTAACGTTAATGTACGGCAGCACGAACAAAGAACTTTACTGTTCAATATTAGATTTCAATTTGGAATCGAATGGTATACCGGGTGGTATAATGGTATAACTCTAAGGTGTCTATCAGACACCCGAGCTTCTGACTAGAGTTCTGCTTTTCGTCGCAAAAGCGCCACCTACACTGACTACATGTAGCGGCGAGAAGCAGTACTCCAGTCAAAAGCTCTTTAATAGGGAGAAGCTTGTAAAACGTCCTTGTTCTGATAGACACCGTAAGGAAGGTTAAATTCTTTAATGGTTGTGAAAAAGACATTTGAATCTGCTTGGAGAGTATGACACACGCACATACACACACACACACACACATGACTATATATAAAGGGGGTTTAAATTTTAAACCTCCTTGCACACACATACACTGTAACGTTAAGTACTGTGCACACGCACGCGCGCGCAAACACACAGTACACAGACAAAAAACATAACCTTGTCGGTTTAACGATTATAAATAATTTGAGGCCGTCAGTTGTCCGGTTTCCTCCCTAACTAGCCATGGGTTAGTGCCCTCCGGTCAGTCAGATCAGCTGGTAGGTTGAATACACCATCGCGTCACACACTGTGTTTTCAAAGGCCCCCGACCAACTCTATTTAGCTGCGTGATAACATCATGCCATCCGCTTTATTTCCAAACAGAGCCGTGGAAATCCCAAGGGGCTATTTTTGCGTAATCAGATCGTACATAAGATAATTGAAATTCCAAGAGAAGCAAGTAATTAAAAATACGACTACCTGTTACAATCATGGAATGTTATTGGTTACCGTGCGTTACCGTGTCAAACTGGGAAATTAATTTGTACCATCAAGTCAGCATAATTTTTGTCATCCCTTTAAATTTGATCTAAAAAAAGTAATGGATTGATTTCATCAAGCTATGGATGATGAAAAAAAAAAAACAACAGAGGCATCCTGATACTAAAAATCAAATCTCCAAGCAGATCTTTTGGTGGCTGCAAAAGACAGTAACGTTATCATTGGGTATCGTATCCATTTGCGAGGCAGTTGCCATTTGCAACCCGTATGAAAAGAGAAGAATTAGTACAAAAAGCCCAATAAAAACGCATAAAACGCGTCAAAATTAAGCCAAAACCCAAACACCTGCTTGCAAAGCACAAAAAGTCACGTAGAGTTTAAAACCCCTCTCAGAATCACCATGCAGATTGTTAGCAGACCTATGCGGCCGTGTAAATTCTGTCCCGTGTGGAGGGGAATGTTAGTGACTGTTAGATGCCGATCTTTTGCTTCCTCTGGACGTCAGGACAGTCCTAGGACACAATCATGATGATGAATGGGAGCGTAAGAAGTAGGAGCGAGGTAAGATCAAGCTCAAATCTGTCTGTTAAGCGTAGATCTGCGTTTATAAGGGCTCCGATTCAGGCGAGCGCTGTTGTCAGCTGTCCCAGGCTAAGCTAAATGAAACCCTATCATGGCGATAGGGGTAGAAATATGTCCTGGGAGGTATTGTCTCAGCAAACCGCGACAAGGCAAGGCAAAAACGGTCTAACAAGGCTGTATTCTTCAGCGTTTTTGTAGCAGAAATGCTGCCAGAATTGCTCGTGTTTTGATGTCAGTGGATCGCCCGCCGTTCTGTTGTTGTTATAGACGGAATAACCTCCCGTGCGAATTGTTATTGTCTAAGCAAGAGGGGCCCGGGGGTTCTTGTGCTGCAATGTTTGCGGTCGTCATGTGTTCCGACAAAACCGCTGACTTATGACGAAATTCGCCCCGTTTTCTGGACAAACTCGAAGATGTCAGGCTCCCCATTTCTTCAGGATTCTCAGAGTAGAAGGAATAACTGTTCAGGAGAAATTATCACCTCTCAGAGAATGCAGAAAATGTCGTCTGCTGAGAAGAGTGTCCACCATGTTAATTTGTGCGGATCGGTGAATTGAACTTCCGTCCTTTCTTCTTCTCTTTCCTGTACAATACAGGTCTCCGAATACATGGAAGAGGAAAGCTTAATCTGCAAAAGGCTGCCGAAAGAGCTCATTTTGAGGTAATTTCATACCATTGTCCTGTAGTCAGCACTGTTTTTACCTGAAAATATTGCGTAATCATTATGGTCAGCACGGATAAAACCCGTGTTATTGTTTACCTCATTATGCAGTGTTGAATGTTTTTGTTCCTCCGCAGAATATTCTCGCATTTAGACGTCGTGTCTCTGTGTCGGTGTGCTCAAGTTTCTAAGGTAAGTTTTTGGGTGAAATATTTCTCGATTTGTGCAATCAAGTGTGAAAATAAATATATGACAACAGTTGCATAGTGCAAGTGGGGAGGGGGGCACCTAGGACCTTTGTTTACGTATGTGTACATAGGATAGCAGGGCTCAAAATACCACCTGTATATGCAGATTAGTGCAGGTAAAATTGGAGCATTGCATACACCAAACCTGCAAATACATGCAGGTGTATGTAAAATTCTATATGCTGCATTGACAGTGTTACCACCTATTGTACTTTTATAGTATAAATATTATTATGGCAATGGTTTCTTCATCTGTAAATAATTTCATCAGGTTGGTGAACGAATGAATAGCAAAGTTCTGTGACCACAACCATTTACAGTGCACTGTGAACCAAGTAACAGTGCACTGTGAACTATGTAACACCTTTAGTGCACTATGCACCAAGTAACATCTAGCATCAGTGCACAGTAAACCAGTCAGAATTGCCCTGATGAAGATGACAGACGGTCATCAAATCAACGGCTAGTGAAAAATAAATGGTTGTGATCAAAGAACTTTGCTAGGCAAATTCCATTTTTGTATGATGCATACTTCCTGACTTTTCATAGAGCATAGAACAAATGTACCTGTGCAATACCTGTACTGTGTTGTGAATACCACTTTGGTAGAATGCCCCATTTAAGGTAGTATTTGCATATTAAGAATGACATCCTGTCCATAGTTTTCGAATGTTGTGTCGGAAAAGATATCGTCTGCAACGGGCAAAATGCTGATGCAACATTGACCAAGCATCCAACGGAATCCATGAAAAATCCTGGTTTTGCGCAGGCACAGTACGTTCTGCCAATGTGCTTAGCTCAGTATAGAACAGACAATCTCAACAAGCTCTTAATTGTAAGGGTAGTGTAATTAAAAAGAGCCTTCCCGCGTCAAGTGACGCATAGGGCGGCGCCCATCTCCGGTCATTAGCCCTGGGCCACACACACAGAAGTCACTACAGCAGGGGGCTAGTCCACTGGTAGTGCAATTACATATACTCAATGTTTTTTTCTTGCATCATTTGCCATTTATACCAAAGTTTAGAAAGGTACTAGCCTCTACCAGGCTCCGCGGATCGCTGGAAAAATAGTAGAAATTGGCCGAAATAAAGGGAATAGTATACCAGAGAAGATCCAGCTGGCCATAGAAGCTCCAATTTGCGACCCACTGGACAGGTATACTATCCCTTTATTTCGGCCAATTTCTACTATTTTTCCAGCGATCCGCGGTGCCTGGTAGAGGCTAGAAAGGTACAAGAGTGGGAGCTTATTGCAGTATACTTAACGCCATTTCTCATATTTGATATTCTTCAGGCATGGAACATCCTTGCATTGGATGGGAGCAACTGGCAAAGAGTGGACTTGTTTGACTTCCAAGTAGACATAGAGGTGAGAAAACAGCACAAGTCTTACCTTACCAACTCAAACAACCTGATGTCACCATGATTTCTCACTATTTATCATAAAAAAATCAGTGTCTGCACACATATGAAAATGATGCCGTTGTCACGGGCAGGAATCGGGCCAATTCGTACCAGTTACAGTCACGTTAGACAAGTCCCTTAATACTTATGGCATGTCTATGGGGACTAAATTGGGACTGAGAAAAAAACCTTTACGGACAGATGTAGAGGTTGTTGCTTAAGAAAGTTTAACTGTATTTCTATTCAGTTACATGTACTGTAGTAGCCTGGGTGTCAGCCTTTTTAGCTTTTGTCCACTCCCCATGATTCACTACCTATCGTGGGGAGTGGACGGAAGCTGAAAAGGCCAACACTCTGGCTAGTAGTACTGTAGGTTATTTAGAGAAGAAACAGTCGTCTTTGTTTTCTTATGGTGGGACTTCAGGCAAACTAAGTACATTTTTGTTTCCTTCTGTGCAGAGTTCAGTAGTTGAACACCTGTCCAGAAGATGTGGCGGGTTCCTGAGACAACTGAGTCTGCGAGGGTGTCAGAGTGTACAGGACAGGGCACTAGAGTAAGTACAGCACTCAAGCTTACTTCCTTGGCAATGTTATCTTACAGAGCATATCAGCAGAATGTACTGCACCTGTGAGTGCTATCACCATATTAACAGGGCAATAGAGTAACATCTGTGTCCATAATATCACTACCTTGAGAAACAGTGTGCTTAAAGATATTTTTACTGCAACAGACTTTTGGTATGCACTCCTTCACGCATCAAATGTACATACCTAGGGTATGTTGCAGTAAAGCACACTATTTCTCAAGGTGGCGATATTATGAACCCTGGTGATATTATGGACACAGATGTTAACTACAACTCACAGGTTTCCTTACTACTATCACCTTACATTCTCGGCAATGTTACCATGATACAGAGCATGTCAGCAGAATGTACTACACTTGTGTGCAACACAGATACAGGTTTCTGTGAGTACATCACTGTATTGCCAGGGTACTTAAGTGAGAACAATCCACAAGTTAAATTTCTTTACTGCTGTGGCCATACCTCTTCAACTGGACTCAAAATGCTTTATTCTGCATCATTCCACATTCAACTACAAATGTATGAACAGAGGACCACAGCTTGACATCCTGTCATAAGTACTGCATCCCTACACTGTAGTCGGGTGAGCAACAACAGCCAGGATTCAAACTCCCAACCTCTTGGTTCAGGTCAGAGCCAGGGTCTCTGGACTATGCATGCTACTTAATACGTACTCTGCTTATTCACTGCAAGTAGTCTGAAATCTATATCTGAGTGTTCTCTTTCAGTCGTATCTCATGTTCTCTTTCAGACTTTTCGCCCAAAATTGCAGGAACATTCAAGAGCTCAGTCTTAACGGGTGTAAAAAGATAACCGACTGGTAAGTAGTGTTCCTGCACCCGTATGTCACCCCTCTTGTCTTAATCATATCCCTTTTTTATGTTTTTTTTACAGAATATTTGCTCAGAATTGCAGAAACATAGAGAGCCTTTGTCTTGCTGGGTGCAAAAAGATTACCAATGGGTAAGTATTGGAGTTGTAGAGCAATTGTCCAACCAGATTAAAGAAATCTGTAATAGATGTGGTTATCTTTTTTTTTTTTGAGATTAAAAAGAAACGCTTTGTCCCTAACTCTCTTGATTGATGCTTGTACCAGTAGTAGTCCAACCATGGTTAGGCCACACTTACTTAATTTTATGGATGACATCCATGCGCACATTGATTTTCGTCTGTTCTCAAAAAAACAAAAAAAAGATCACGTCCTCGGAGGCTCTGGCCTGGCTCTAGGCCTTGGTAGTCCATGGAAGTTAGCAACAATACGGAGCCGGTGGTAACTGTGGAGGACGGCACCCAGGCTGTCTAAGCTCCACACTCAAGAACTCAGTACATATACCTACAGTGCCGATTCATAAATTCCGCATAAAGCTAGCTTGTGCCCGCTTGTCGTATACGTCGCTATGTACAGCCAAATTCACAATACCAGCTTTGTATTCCTGTGGTTTAGTAGCATTTTTATTTTTGGCCGGAATTTTTTTTATTCACCCGCACGCACTAGTTTTAGTGTCTTCAGAGGATGTTATTCATAAAATTAAGATGGTGTGGCCTTAGGAGTAGGTCGGGAGCAAGGTCTGCTGTGGTTGGCTGGTGTTTGGAAAGGTCGGTTACTGTTTGGATGCACCAGACAAATGGGGTGTGGATGGAGGCTTGGCCATGGTTGGATGGTGTTTGGGAGTAGGTTAGAAGTATTCAGGGCGTGTTCGAGGATCAAATTTGAATCAAATTAACTCAAATTTGATATCAAAATGTAGGCGTAGCCTAAATCTAGTCACACTGCACCCGAACTTAGCCAACCTTGGTTGGGAAAAGTTCTAAATGTGTGACAGGCTTTAGTGGGTTAAAGTAGCTGGTGGTAACCATTTTAATACAATCACATATTATATTATTCCATGTATCGTTGTTTTTTTTTTTAAACCCAGGACCTGTAACAGTCTGGGAAAGTTCTCCCACAAGTTGTTGTGGTTAGACCTGGGCTCATGTTCTCTCATCACTGACAATGCACTCAAGGCACTCAGGTAGGTGTTTTTTATTGGTTCACTTAGTAGAAGCAGTAAAGGATAAATTTCTTTAAAAAAAACATATTGTGAGGGCCATGTAACAGTATTAATGAATGCGCTTTATTGCTCATGAATAAGGCAAAAGTAAAATTGCAGACTCTGAGATATCTTACTGGCACTACAACTATACAAACTCCAGAACTACGATATAAAGCTGTATGGCCATATGGAGCTTATAATACATGGTTTGTCTATTCCCATATAGAATACAACTTTTTATGTTCTATCCAATTGTCGAAAACTGTGAAACTTAATATATTATCTTGTATGGAATTAAAGAAGATATTTCTCTTAATAGCCTTTCAGCAAAGACAGCACATTTTAGAAAATCAGCAGTTCTGAGGGTTTGATAATAAATCCCACTTTTCTGGTTTTCTTCAGTGATGGCTGTCCCCTGTTGGAGTACCTGTCTATAGCATGGTGTGACCAAATCACAGAAAACGGAATAGAAGCTTTAGCAAGAGGGTGCAATAAATTACAAGTGCTCATAGCCAAAGGTTGCATATTGGTAAGTATTTTACATTCATTCTTTCTTTATTGCAGGTAAAAAAGCCATAATACACAGTACATCATTAAAATAATACAAAACTCCAGAGACATGCAAATAATAGAGAAAAAAACCTAGTAGATACATAGTAAATTGTAAGTCTTTTGGAAGAAAGAGTTTCTGTAAAAGGCATCAGATCTTAGTAAGCAAATGATAATTTTCATTATATAAGTAAGTTTATTATGTTTACCTCATAACTGGTGCTGTAGCAGACACGCTGTGTGTGGTGTTGGGTTACATTATGTGGCAAGTTGCAGAACAGAGCTGGAGGGGCTGGTCATAATAGTATGATGTATGAATGATTTTGAGTAAGAATAAACAGAGCAGTAGTTTGTTAGGCTAGACCATGTGAAGGTAAACAATATGCAATATACTTTGCAACTGTTACCTTTCTAGTTCTTCATTTTTCTTCTTCCTCAGTTTGAAGTGTTTTCTGGTTTGGGAGAAAGTTTTTTGATGTGAATGTGTTTTATTTCAGCTGACAGACAGAGCCCTGAAGCACCTTGCCAGTTACTGTCCACTTGTTAGAACCCTGAACCTGCATAGTTGCAATGTAAGTACAGTCCTAGCTTGTACATTATTAATATGTAGGAAGAACAACAATAAGGACAGTCAAGCCTACTTTTTTGGGCAAAAAAGTTACACATTACAAAAGATTGTCATCAGACCAAGAATGATAACTAAATTTTGCTTCAAAAAACATATCAATTTCAATTAAAAAAAGACTATTCGTTGTTAGATGTTGTATTAATTGGCCTTCAGCACCAAGGACAGGTCTAATATGGGTACTATATTTCACTTTACCATTATAGTACAATTCACTTTATGTTCACGGCAGCAAAATTTCATGGTGTGACAAATTGAGGTGTTCATAGAACTGTGTATGTTCGTCATGGTGGCAGCAGGTGCAGGGAAAAGAAAGTTGATTTGTTAGTGGTAATAATAATACATATAAGTTCATGGTACAGAAGTGACCACCGTAAAAACCCTGAACATAAAAGTACAGTGAAGAAAATTAGGAATAGCAGTATATAAAATCTAAGTTGCTTTACATATATTGTCACTAGATAGCTTTAAACAATGTCTAGAGTTAGATGTTCAAGGGTTAGGTATAACAAGTCAATCAGTGTGATGTAGCCAGCTGCCGCCGCGCCGGGTGCCTGCGAAGCTGGTGTGTTACGCCAAAAGGCGGTTATTCCGGCTATACTGATACAGATGCAGATATATCTCCAAGGACAGGTCTAATAGGGGCATATAAAATATAACTTATAAGTTGCTTTACAATTTCTATACAGAATGTCACAGACGACGGGATCAGACATATAAGCTCAGGCTGCCACCTGCTGGAGTCTCTGTGTGTGTCTGGCTGTACTCACCTGACAGATGGAACACTGGTGGCACTGGGGGCAGGCTGCTACCAACTCAGGTACGTGGAACAAGATACAGAGCTTTTAACAATGTTTACAGTTAGATATGGTTGGGTGTAACAGGCTGTTCGGTGTTCGCTGTATGTGTCCGGCTGTACTCACCTGACAGATGGAACACTGGTGGCCCTGGGGGCAGGCTGCTACCAGCTCAGGTTAGTACAACAATCTTTATGCCAAAAAACAGCTGCTCAAGCAACTGGATTATGCTTCTGGAAACGGTCAGACATTTCAGGTAGCATCTCCCTAGAGTAGCTAAGTTTCTGTTGTGTGTATTGTTTGAAATATTTGTCAAAACAATCTTAATTGCCACAACAAAAGTACAGCGACTTTGTGAGGTCTTCTAAAACTAGACCTACATTTTGCTGACTTGTTGTGGAATACTTTTCACAATGACAGAGAAGCAAAGAGAACCGGAATATATAGCTTGATCATGTGCATGTACATGTATATATTTAGTACTATGTACGATAGCTATTCCTTTATTTTGACCTGTACTTAACCCAGTGGTTATTTATGTACAATAAAGGTTTCAATTTCAATTTATTCTCAGAACACTAGAGTTGGCAGGGTGTTCTCAGTTCACAGACAACGGTTTCATGGTGCTTGCTCGGGTAAGTAGAATCCCCATGCCTTTTCCTGAACAAAAATGCAAAGGACATACTATTAGGTACCAATCAAGTAAGATACAGTGCAGGGGTTAGAATGCAAAGAGCAATTTTAGGCCATACTGATTTGATTATATCAATGACATTTTTCTGCACGCCCCAAAATTAGTAAAAATAAAAAGTAAAAATTGGTTAGGTTGAAGCTTATTTTGTTTTCTTTATTTCCTTGTGAAACTTTGTTATGGATTCCAGAATTGCCATCACCTAGAGAGAATGGACTTGGAAGAATGTGTTCTGGTGAGTATTCCTGCTATATAAGATTTTCAATAACTTTATGCTTATAAATTAAACTTGTGATATTACTGCTTGCAGTTTATTACTGTATACTTCAAGTTTTAAGTATTTCAAGTTCTAATTGTTCCTTTTCTTCTGTAGATAACAGATGCTACATTAGGCCACCTCGCCGCTCACTGTCCATGGTTGTCAAAGTTGGTAAGCCAGAAAATTGTACAGTTGAGTAGGAGAGGGGAAGAGTAAGATGTCCAGAATCATATATAATCATGATAGATTTTGGTTAGACTTTATAGTGGGATGACAGGCAAACTATTGAGTTTCTTGTTTTCTTTGAAAGTGTTAAAGGTTTGTGTCAAGAACAGAACTTTCTGCTGTGGCTACCAATTCAGGCTCACTAATTGTAATCTCCAAGCAGATCCTAGGGTGGCAAAATGACCATCAAATTGGCCAGGCAGTATCCATTGGCCAGAGAGTCCAATATGCCACCCAAGGTTGGTGGGGGTATATAGCGACAAAAAAAACAAAAACAGGCTATATGTAAAAAGGTACTGATTTTCCCCCATCAAACTTTGCTTGGAGAGTAACATCTGTGTTCATAATATCACGGTGACCATAGTCCATAATATCGCCACCTTGAGAAAAAGTGTGCTTAAAGATATTTTTACTGCAACATACTTATGGTATGTACATTTGAGGTGTGCAGGGGTGTATACCAAAAGTATGTCGCAGTAAAAGTATCTTTAACTTCGTTTAAGCAAACTATTTCTCAAGGTGGCGATATTATGGACCCTGGTGATATTATGGACACGGATGTTACCAATTGTATATCATCTGCAAAAGTAACTCCGCCTTCTGACATCTGTCACATTCCAGAGTTTGTCGCACTGTGAGTTGATAACAGACGAGGGCATCAGACAGCTGGGGACAGGTGCGTGTGCACCTGAGCACCTGGAGGTCCTGGAACTCGACAACTGTCCGCTCATCACAGACGCCTCGCTGGAGCACCTGATGGGCTGCCAGAGTCTGGAGAGAATCGAACTGTACGACTGTCAACTCATCACAAGGGCCGGCATCAGGAGACTCCGGGTAGGGACATAAACTTTAAGATATCATTTCCTTCAAGATACTGTGTTGCAGGCTCAGGTATTTGTCAGGACCAGGTACAAAAAAATTCACTTGGCCCACTTGTCTCAAATAGTTCTACCCAGTTTTTTAGTTCTCCTGAATTTTTTAATGTCATCTCAATTTTGTTTGCCATAGCATCATGTTGAGGGGTCAAGCGATTTAAGGCACAACAAGGGAATATGGTGAAATCTTGACCCTCTGAAATGCTATTTCCCACATTTTGAGGGGCAAATTTTACTGGTAGACTTAGCTTTGTTTAATGACATCGCTTTCCATATTTTAGTTTACCAACTTTTGTCCGTCATAAATGTCAGATTTGGCAAAATTTTTTGTCCGTCATGAGTGGCAAAATTCTGTCAAATGACGGAGAGACAGACACTAGCTCTGACAGATACTGCCTCAGACAACATTGGTACTCATTGCCAGAGAATAGGCAGTTCTTGTTAAATGGATTGTTCCCTTCTTTCTCCCCCAGGCCCAGCTTCCTAACATCAAAGTCCACGCCTACTTCGCACCGGTCACCCCCCCACCCTCGGTCGGCGGCGGGCGGCAGCGCTACTGTCGCTGTTGTGTCATCCTGTGATCCGTTACATCCACACGCCACAGGACTAACCTACGCTACAGGTTCCTACAATTTGTGTAGGAAAACGTGTATCTGCCACTGACTGCAATGTTCCTCAGCATGTTGGCAGAACGTACTGCACCTGCGTGAAACCTGTAATGTATTGTGCACAGCACTTGGGCAGAATGTCTCATATAAGGTCGCATTCTTTTATATAAGGTTAACATTCCATCTGTAGTTTTCAAATGGTATGTCTACAGTTTCCTACAATTTGTGTAGAGAAAAAATAAACTGGGACTGTTTTCCATCACTTCGGCAGAACGTACTGCACCTGTGCAAAACCCTGATTTTTCACGGTTTTTGTAAAAGCTGGATTTTTGGTCACCTTTGCATCAGAATTTTGCCTGCTACAGAAGATATCTTTTCCAACACAACATTTGGAAACTACAGGCGGAGTGTGAACCTTATATATGCAAATATGACCTCATATGAGACGTTCTGCCAAAGTGCTATGCATGATGCATTACGGGTTTTGCGCAGGTGCAGTACATTCTGCTGACATGCTGGATCCTATCTGCCATGTTACTTGGAGGTTCTCCAGGCTTGGACTCGGAAAGGTGTCATTCAACAGGCACTGAACGCAGGAGGCAGCCTGGAACGGACACTCAACAGGCAGTGCTACTTAAGGACTTCACACTTGGACACATCTTTGGAACTTAACGACTGTACGGAACCAAAATGTAACATTTTCTGATTATATTCAATAACAGTCATGATCATGATATATCTTCTTCTGTTGTTGAAGACTGCACTATAAAAAAGTTGTTCTTCAGACTCAAGGGTTTTGTTGTTAAAACTTAATATATGATGTAGCCAGGCATGCCAAAATAGATGTCACAGTTGAGTAGCAAACAGTGCTTTATCATAATGATTTCATATGATTATAAGGCACTACAATCCTAGCATAGTCTCTACCAGACTAACTACGCTGGCTATATATAGGAGAATTTGCCGGGGGAGTTTGGCCGCCTTGTAGGTTTGACTGGCTGTGCAGTTCGGAGGGAACGAAACTACCTCCCCCCTGCGCGGCATAGTCAAACCCCAAGGTGGCCAAACTCCCCCCGGCAAATATTCTCCTATATATAGCGGCCAGACTCCCTTGGCCAATTTGATTCTTTTTTTTGCCATATTCTATGACCCGTATTCCCGTAGAAAGGCCTGGTGGAGGCTAGCTTTTACAGCTTTTAAAAGACTTGACGTGTATTTTCCTTGACCTGTTGTGCCAGGTTCAATTAAATGTGACGTCCTTTGCATTCATATTTGGATTATATTCTGACAAAAACCTTGAGTTTGAAGAATGATTTTTCCATAATGCGATGTTCAGTAACAAAAGAAGGATTGGCTAACGTGTATGTAAATTGAAAATACTATTGAATCTTACTTTCATTGTTGAATGATCAGAAAATCTTGTATTTTAGTTTCAAGCATTGTTTAATCAAGAACATCCTTTGGAATCCAGAGCTGTTTTTCTATAACATTTGGCCATGTTAAGAGAATAGGAATTGCAGACCCAAATGCTTTCATCAACGGGTCCTTTTTTCCTATTGCAAAGAAATTAAGCAACATGAAGTTTGGAGTAAATGTTGGGCATTGTCAATAAAAAATGTTTGGTACCAGCATACAATGTACATGTATGTCAATCTCAACAGATGTCACGTCACTGAACGTTGTGATTTTGGAAATGCAGCTAGCATCTACCAGGCTTCAGAAGTGGATGGAAAAAGTAGAAACTGGCCAAATAGACAGATAGCCTGCCAGGGGAGTTGGTCTGTTCTTGAGAGCAGCAAACTGTACTCCTTTAGCAGACCAACTCCCCTGTCATGTTATTGGTCTATTTGGCCAATTTCTACTCTTTCCAGCCACCTCTGAAGCCTGGTAGAGGCTAAAATGCAACTACCAGCAAAACTATCTCTAGAAAGTGTTGACTGGATATTAGGTCAGAGAGCCAAAGAAAGCTATAAACTTGTAAGTGTACAAATGAAGGTAAAAGATTATTGAATATTTTGTATTGAACCATGTTAATGAACAATCATGTCGTGCTGTACACAATGCATAGCGACTCCTCTGCAGATATTCTGCTAGCTTCTGATCGATCGAAGTTTTTAAGCTGCGAAGTCTTTTCCCATGTAATAGTTGCAATTCTTTAATTTGTTGTTGGTACTTTTGTGATACCAATTTTTTGGAGATGAGGAATTCATTGCTGACAGCTCATCACTGGAACATCGCTATAAAGTTTGATCTCCAAGCAGATACTAAGGTGGATAATGGTTTCTTTTGGCCAATGGTCACAGCCTTGCCACCATAGTATCTGCTTGGATATTATATCAAGCTTACTACAGTTAGGACAGGTGTTACATGTACATCTATTCTGTGAAAAGACATTGTACAACTTTGGAAAACAGCTCAGTTTAAGTCTTGTGGGTTGGGGTGCATACTCAGTCTGGTTTGTAATATTGTTCCAGAATTACCTTCTTTCGAAAACAACTAAAGCGGGGGTGTTGTTTTTTGCTGCTTCAAGTCTCCCTAACATCTGAATGTCTCTGTGCATCTCTATCTGTAGACTGTTGTTCTTAGCCTCCGTAGCAGGCTTATAGAACTGGGGGTTTGGTGGTCTTCGGCTGTTTTCTGATCAGCCCAGTCAAAAAACGGGGGTAATTCAATCAGGCTGGCTATGTTGTCTATATGCAATCAGAAAATTGCACATAAAAGCTCCCAAAGACCCTGAAGACCCTCAAAACCCCCAGTTTTTGGCATGGTATGGAGGCTATGTTGTTCTGGTGAACATAATTTAACGAGTGAAAAATTGCTGAAACCCTGTTCAAAACCACACATCTCATAGATTTAAATATTGATAACTGAGACTAGCGAAACAATTTTTTTGTACACTTTGTGTTAAGGGGGGTCTGACTTAAGAGCAATGCACATTTTTCTGTATGTTGCTATTTCCATGGTTATATTTCACTTTTTGGTACATTTTGCTATATGTTGATAGAATCTTTAGGGCTTGAAATGCCTGGTTGCCCAGTTTTGCCACCCAAACTCGTTTTACATTGTATGCAACAGACGCATGGTAGCATACCAGTGGTAGGCCAAAACATAGCAAAAACCATCTTCTGTAATGTCTAGCAAGAATTAAAATCAGTGCCATATATATATAGAGAGAGAGAGATGATTAACAATGGGGTAAATCTTGCTGATTTTATACTGATTTTCTTTTTCATTGCAAAATTCAAGTTTTGAACAAAAATGCCGATGAAAAGTGTGCTTTTTTGACTAGCAAAACATTCATTTTCCCCAAACAATGCACAACTTGAAGATTGTTGCACAGCTATTGTTCTCCATAGATTGCAATAATGGGTGATTCTGTTTTAAGGGCTTGTGTGTTATTTGTATTCCTTATCTATCAATTCTCTCAGATAGATATTATGCAGAGAGTACGAGCTGTGGCAAACTGAAATGTTAAAATTGGCAACCTTAAGCTTTTGGCTTAGGTTACCCACTGGGCAACTTTGGCTTTATTTCGTGCCCTGCTTATTTTCATACAATCACAATACATGACATAGATCAGCATCGGATTTTGTTTAATTCAGTTCATACAGGACAAAAATTTTGTATACAACAAACATTTGTAGATGTGTATTACATACATAAATTGTTATTATATATATACATTGTACCAGGACTGCATTTGCATAATGTTGTATTCAATTTATTCCTGACATGGATGCATTAGGCCAGTACACCCAATAAAAGTTATGGGGAAATCTTTGTATGACCTACATTGTGGTACATTTTGACCTTTCCACAGCTGAAAGCCTCCAGTCACAGATAGTGGCACACAAAGGACTACTTTTTTGCACGTTTTTGTTGCTATTAGTTCAATATTGATCCCAATTGCTATTATTTATGATCCCATTCAAGCAAATTCATTGTATATTACCGGTATATGGTCAAAGTTTTAGGTTTTGTCAGTGATTCAAAGCACAAATGTTCAGCATGGAATACTGCTGTGGTGTGATGCAATGTCCAATTTGTACTTAAGTGACAAACTGTATAATTAGTTCAGTCTGTAGATAACTTCTCTTTTTTGTTCTCTACATGGCTTAGGATATGACATTTGATTGAAATTAAGGACTTCTTTTGTTAGTTTTTGATCATCTTTTGATCTTTTTGTTTGTTGTAATGTTGTCTCTTTTATACTTCATGTACTGAAAAGCTGTTTCCTGTCACATTCAAATTCAGTTTCTTTTTCTATTTGCACATTTGATGCACATTTATGATATAAATTATTGAAGGAATTCCTAAATTATTGTCTCCAGGACCCAATTTCAACACCATCTACTAATTCTAAAGTGGATTGAAATTACACTCCATTTTCCTAAATGTACTTTAATTATTAAGCCCTTTCTGATAAAGGCCATTTCATCTCAAGTGGAATGAACAGATCTTAATATAATGTCAAGAACAGTGAGCGCCTACCCTTCAGACTTACACAGCCATTTGCAGACTCACATTCTGCATGTCCATGCCCGCATTTCTCCTTCCCAGTAACATTCCTGATGATGCATTAACTTTTGACTCTCTTGTAAATAGTTTTGTGCACAAGTTCTGTTCTCCTTGGTTTATAAAAAAATGCATTAATATTTATAACAAATTGCTACTTTGTCCATACTAATAGCTTTCTTTACCACCATAGAAATAAAAGCTGTCAGCTCTGCACTGAAAATGTTATTTTGGTCTTCATTGGTTTAAACATTTCTGTACGTCTACTTTCAAGTTTTCTTTCTTTCTTTTTCTTTTTTAGATTTGAGATGATATTGTAACAGGAATATGTATAATGCAAAGATACGGGCCATTGTCATGATTGTGAACTGTTTAAACATTTTCAACATTATTAGCTTTTGCACACTTTCTCTCAGCAGTTGAATAAAGTGCAGCAGTATCATGATGTACCTTAATCTTTAACCAGGTTGTTATGTTTTCATTTGCATTCGTGGCAATGGGTCAATTGTAGGTGTGTGTGTGTTTGTGTGTGTGCGTGTGTGTGTGTGTGTGTGTGTGTGTGTGTGTGTGTGTGTGTGTGTGCGTGTGTTCCATAAAAAGATCCAAGAAAATTGTAGTTTTGTGTGTGTGACTGCCTGCACTGTACCCAAATACAAAACATAGTACTACAAATTATGCCCACAGGACTTCATCAAGACCATAGCATGTCCAGGACAAAAGATACAAAAAAACAGGATTTCTACTTCAGTACCAAGGACAGCCACCAAGAATCTCAAATTTGAACTAATATCCTTTGTCTTTTCATGCCCAACCCATGCCATATACAAAATATCTTACAATCCATTAGTTATGTTTACCACAAATATGTGGAAACACAGAGAACAAGAACAAGACTCCTCCTTCAGTACCAAGGACAGGCACCAGGGGGCTCAAGTTAAACCTGGACCTCTATCTTTTCAAGACCCCATAGCCCATACCATACAAAATATCATCGCAATCCATTAAGGCCTTCTTAAGTTACAGTATACTGACACCACAAATATGCAGAAACAGAGAGAGGGGGGACATAGACCAAAACAATACCTCCATTTTTCAAGGAGGTAAATACTAACTGGTAAGTTACGTATAAAACAACAACGACACGGATAATGAAATAAATACACCCAAAATATTGATATAATCAACACCAAATGTCAAAGACACAGGCACTGCAATAAATGCACCAATGACATCGCTACACCCAACACGACAGGCACAGAAAAATAAATACACCGGACAGCTAAGGACAAAGGTCACCGCAATGTACGACTTCCTGAGCGCGGAAGATCCCGGATGTGGCCGAGCCTGTACTGAGACTACAGGGAGAGTTTTGCGCGGTTTAGCGCCCGATTTTCTCAACAATTCGGCCTAAATTCGTCCTAAACTGAGACTTACAAGCAATTTTGTCTTCTACAAAAGATGTTCCGGGGGTGACGTGTCGAGAAAGTCACTGTTAGGGCACATTTTTGGAGGCGAAAAGGTGGGTATACGCTGCTGCTATTTAGCACTCCGAGCTCTCAAAAAATATTTATTCCTGTGGTTCTGTAACGTTACCTAATATTTTGGGTTTCGTAAATGTATTCTTTGCCCCTAAAATACGATTTGATTTCCTAATAGACAGTTTGAAAGTTGTCTGTCAAATCATAGACCCGCTGGTCATAAAAAATAAGTCTAAAACGAATAAAGGATTTTTGAATCAAGGAAGCCGTCTTGTTATCGAGGTCATGTCGGTTCATGAGCCTACTTTTTGGACACATTTGATGGAAGTTATTTATCGGGATTTCCTCTAGGAATACGGGTTTCAAAAACAGATAGAAATGGAGTTTTGATTGTGTAATACATGGGAGCAATATCATTTTACCCTGAGGTTTATTGATGTATACTAACGTTATATAATTTATAGTCGATATGTTTGTTGATTTAGATAAGGTTGGGAGGGGTATGGGTGATAGCATCTAAAGTTGGACAGTAACACTAACACTAACAGTAGTGTTCATCCACAAAGAAGTACAACCAGGCTACCAAAACCATAGCCTTATGCTAAAGTATTTGTGATAAATAATTTACAAAATTGACCACTAGCATGAGGAACAAACTAGTGTCTGGATATTGGGGTTGCAGAATTCTTCTCTCTCTACTGTCATAAATTTTGACCATGTAACTTTCAAAGATTCAAGATGTAGAATTTATGGAAATCTTGCAGTGTAACTGACATTGAATTGCCTTCAAATTACAACTATTGTCGTAGCTAGAAAGGTCAAATTTTCAATACTGTTTAATATGTCTCATTTATTTTGACAACTGAGGCAACAAGAAGTTAGTTTACTGGGAGAATGAATCTTAAATACACTACTTTTGTATTTCCCACAGTTTGGAAATTTCAAGATTTCTGCCTTTTTTTAGATCAAAAATCTGTTGATGTTCCCCTGCTAATTGCTCACCCAGCCCTATAAATATAATTCTCCCTTAGGGCTCTCTTAAGACAACAATCAAATTAAAGGATAACAACTAATAAATAGGACTACGGATTTAATTACATGGTACAATTGATAAAGTAAAACTGGAGCTTTGATTAACAAACGTTAAGTTCACACTTTGTTTCACATGTTAAATCGCGTCCATTCATTTCAACCAATAAATCACCCTGGAGGTCCCTCCCTTTTGCTATTCTGGTAACACCAGCTGACCTGTAGTAACCCCTGTCTGTCATGCAGCCTGTGGCCTTCAGGTCTTCTCATGTATACTGTTAGACTGTCTCATTCATTCTCTAGCAACGTTCTTCATTCACAAGCACTTATTTAGAGCCAGTGTTTGGATGACTGTTATTTTCAGGCCCTAAGGAAAAAAAAGGTGGATTTCTGTTTCCCTAGAAAAACCTGCCGACCCCAGACTTTTTTTGGGGGTGGACCCCTGCAAATTTTCCAGCCTTTTCTATCTCCATGATCTGACTCCTGACCTGAAAATGTAAATGTTGTACAATTGGTTTTCTAACATTGACATTGAAAATAAAAGTGTCCTCATGCAACTTTTAGTACTTTGTTAAACTTAAACTGTATTGTATCAATTCCTCTGATGCACACTGTTAGACTGTCTCATTTATTCTTTACTAGTACTAGCAGTGCTCTTTATTCACAACCACTTGTTTAGCTAGAGCCAATATTTATATAAACATCTGTAATCTTCATCAGGGCAATTCTGAAAGGTTCATTGAACATATTTTACAGATGCATACTTCCTAAACTGATTGCTGCAAAATTTGTCTGGTGTGCCACGGGTAATTTCAAACATCACTTACACCAGTAAATTAGTTATATAGGTGTGCAGAAAGTAGTATCTAGAGCCCTGTAAAAGGATGTTATAGATAGTACTCAAGTCAAGGGAATTAGCAAAACTGAATTTTTTTTGTTGTCCGTTCCCACAGGTAGATCAAGAGGAGTGGTTCTAGCGGAGTGAGCTCCCGTTCCACACTGCCATCCTGGCGACGTCACGTGTGCCCAGCCCCCCACCACCCTCCGAGATGTCCACACCAGTCGCCGAAAACTGGTGCTATACCCAGGTACTGTTACATCACTACATACATGTGCATGTATGTTTAATTGTGATGTGAGCTACTTCCATGCTAAAACAATTGCAAGGTAGAAGAAATCAATGTAACTCAAGTAAAAGCATATTAATGTAAGTTGTAATTCTTTTATTGAAAATGTGTAGGATGAAAATTTGTGTAGAAGTCTAGTGGTGTAGAAGCCCAATGTCGTTTGTACATGATTGTGAAGTCTGTGTAATGTTTTGTTTTGTGTTATTGTTGGAAGAGGAAGATAAGTAGCACAAAAATATGTGCGACTAATGGATATCCCAATAAAGTATCAAAGTATCAATGGCTCTAACTCTAATTGTATTTAAAATACATTTACATACTAGTATATTTAACCAAAGAATGTCCAGACTATGCATGATCTAGATGTACAAAATGGCCGATAAACTGGTGGACATACCAACTACATTTTGTACTAAATGTCTAAAACCTGGGCTCAGAAAAGAACAGGAAATAAATGAAATACCTGTAGTCATGCCTTCAAGTACCAGGGTTATCATCCAAGGATTGAGGTGTTCTGTTGGTAAAGCTGGTGGCTTGATTCGTGTATGATAGAGCTTATGGCATCACTAATTTGAAATAGCCAATGACTAGTTGGGCTTACAAGGTTTTACAAATGTACATCTGTCAGCTACACAGGTTGTGAATGAAAACAACTATTTTGTAAACTGTATGTTTTGATTTTGATTTTTTCTACAGGGGAAAGTAGTGAAGTTCTCGTACATGTGAAGATATACATTATGCCTTTGCTTTGCAAATGTTTCCTTTCTAGTTATTGTAAATTGTATGTTTTGATTTTTTCCAGGTGAAAGTGGTGAAGTTCTCGTACATGTGGACCATCAACAACTTCAGCTTCTGTCGGGAGGAGATGGGAGAGGTGCTGAAGAGCTCCACCTTCTCATCAGGAGCCAACGACAAGATGAAGTGGTGCCTCAGGGTCAATCCTAAGGTTAGCTTCTCTGCATGTTTACTTCACGACAAGGGAGTAAAAATGTCGTTTATTTTTGTCTATGAAATGTAGCATTGGATATGCATCCTCAGTTCTGCTATTTTTGTTTCTGGAAGTGGAAGGGTCACTAATCATCATGGGTTCCTTCTCAGAAGGAAAACATACTATTTTTGCCCTATTTCTATGCCTGTCACTACGGTTACTAGTGCTATAGCAGACAGCCAGATTTTTTCACTACAATGAAGCAAGTTGGGGGGAGTGGTAGTTACCATGTGCATATGATGTTTGAGAGTAAAAATAAGCATAGCAGTAGATTGTAGTTATAGAGTTCAGTCAGCGGGTGCATCATACTCTCTGACAAAGGTTGATGAGATCGACCAAAAATTTATGGTATCCTCCTTTTGTTGGAACAAAGCTTGAACTATGGATTCTGGATTCTACCAACACATGAGCTTTTATTCGAAGAGCAGTAGTTTGTTAGGGTTGACCATGTGAAGATAATCATTTTATATCATGTACCTTTCTACTTTATCGACATAATAATCACTTGCTGTAAACTATTTTGTTGCTATTTCTTGATAAAGGTGTGTAATGATGCTAATTCTTCTTGTTTCTGTGATGTTCCAGGGTCTAGATGAGGAGAGTAAAGACTACCTGTCTCTGTACCTCCTGCTGGTCTCCTGTCCCAAAAGTGAAGTCCGTGCCAAGTTCAAGTTCTCCATTCTCAACAGTAAGAGGGAAGAGACAAAAGCAATGGGTAAGTCATGACCACCGGGTGTAACTAAGTACTGGTGCCATATTTTCGCCATCAAAGTACAAATCTAAGTATTTCAACGCCGAAAGGTTTTACAATAAGTTGTCACTAAATTCAAGGAACTCGACATACATTCATCTACTCAAAGACTCGAGGTGCACACTTTGAGTAGAAGAACGCTGTGTGGTCAAACAGCAGTGATGTTTAAGAGGGAAGAGACAAAGGCCATGGGTACATCACCCAGTGGAACTATGTGGCGTAATGGCAGAACATTCAGCTCAGAACCAAGTGGTTCCGGGTTCGAAACCTGCTATTAGACACCAACCTTGACAATGTACCCTTGAGAAAGGCACTTTACACAAATTTCCTCACTACTAGGAAACGAAACCAAACCAACAACTGGTACCATATTTTTCCACTCAAAATCTTTTGAAAGATTGTAATGCTTATTTATTTGCTGCATGCGATTTTGTTGTGCAAAAACTGTGTCATATATACCACGCCAGCAAATGACAGCTTTTTCAAAAGCGCTCATTTTTCCACCACAGAAAGTCAACGTGCGTACAGATTTGTCCAGGGGAAAGACTGGGGGTTTAAGAAGTTTATTCGGCGAGATTTTCTTCTAGATGAAGCCAATGGATTATTACCGGATGACAAACTGACCCTCTTCTGTGAAGTAAGTCCTCTGGTTCACATTTTACATTTGATTTATTACTGTTAGATGCATGTAAGTGCAGTGTGTAGCATGTTGACAAAATGTACTGCATCTGCGCGAAACCTGTAATGTGTTGTGCTTAGCACTTCGACAGGACATGGCTTCACCAGTAGGGGATAGCTATCCAACTGTTGTCACTTCATACTACATGTATAGTTATATCAGTATAAAGAAATGTTTTCCCATCTGTTTCTCCTTTCCCTGCCATGTCGTAAAATGTGGTGAAGCCATCCGCTACATTTGCTCCAAAGCAAATGTCGGCTTTCTAGTTAAGAATGACTTTCCATCTATTATAAGTTTACACAATTAATGTTGTGTTACAAAAGATGTTTGCAACAGGCAAAATTCTGATGCAACATTGACCAAACATCCAACGAAAACTGTGAAAACTGTGGGTTTCATGCAGGCACAGTACTTTTTGCCAACTTGTGCTCAGTTGTGTAATTCTGTGTTCACCAACAGGGATCAGAGCAGTTCTTCTGTAGAAAATCAGACATTCAAATATATCTTTGTGCTTTTCTTCCTTGCAGGTAAGTGTTGTTGCAGATACTGTGAACATTTCAGGGCAGTCCAACGCGTTACAATTGAAGGTGCCTGAGTGCAAGCTTCCTGAGGACCTGGGAAACCTGCTGGAGAGACAGTCCTTCAGCGACGTGTCACTTCACGTAGGAGGGAAGGAGTTTCAGGCACATAGAGCCATCCTAGCTGGTAGGTACCTGTGGTGGAACGCTTGTAGTAACTGTTGCTATATAAAGATTGTAAAGGGACAATAGGATAATAATTTTTTACACAATGTCAATGTCTTGACCTGCCAATGGTTCCACAACTTCTCAGCTACCTTCATCAACTACCTTGTGGCAAGAAGAATGCAGTCTTGAATGTAAAAAATGAAAATCAAAAGAATGTTTGAATACTTTGTTACTTAAAAGAAATAATGCAGTCTTTCTCCCTTACGCTCATAACATTTTAAGTCATTGCGTCTTTAAAAAAATTGATGAACTGCGACTGATGTGTGTAAGCAGAGTTCACAGTTGAACATGATGATTTTGTTTCTTAGAGTTCACACTCAACCATGCCTTGATTTTCTTTCTCAGCACGGTCACCAGTCTTCAATGCAATGTTCGAACATGAAATGGAAGAAAGCAAAAAGGTATGTTATACAGTATATTGTCAATTCTTGCAAACATTCCAAGATTTACAGCAATTTTGGGCATTTAGTGTAAGAGTGAATGATATAATTTTTAATCTTGAAATTCTTTTTTTATTTTCACAGGGACGTGTAGAAATCACAGATGTGGATGCAGATGTGTTCAAAGAGATGCTGCGGTTTATATACACAGGAAAAGCCCCAAACCTGGAGAAAATGGCAGACGATCTACTAGCAGCTGCAGATAAAGTACAAACTTCTTATTGCCCCCCTTTTTTTTGTACATTTAAGGCCACACTGACTTGATTTTAGCAGCTGGAAAGAGTAGAAATTGTCCAAATAAACAGATAAGATGCCAGGGGAGTTGGTCTACAAAAGGAGTACGGTTTGCTGGCCAATTTCTACTCTTTGAGACTACTTGATTTTATGGATAACATTCATGAATTAATGAATTAACTTTATTGCCCGTACATGGTTCAATGTGTGGCATGTGTGCATTGGTTTTCTACTGGATAAATTGTAGAGATTACTTCCAGACATTTCAAGTGACATTCGTCACTATTCTTCAGAGTTACAGTTACTGTTTTTCAGAATACCATATTAGAATGCTGCAGTATTGTTGCTTATTCCTCATTGTCTGAATGCATTACTCAAGTCTGATAAAGATTGCTGGGTAGCAGTTAAAACATCTGCAACTCTGTTTTGTTTTGTAAGATTTGTAAGTAAAAGATACGTTGTCTCCTTTAGTATGCCCTGGAGAGACTAAAGGTGATGTGTGAAGACGCTCTGTGCTCGACCCTGACAATCGACTCTGTAGCAGACACACTGATCCTGGCAGACCTCCACAGCGCAGAACACCTCAAGGGGACAGCTATCGACTTCATCAACAGGTGGGTTGTAGTGAAGTATTCACTGTTGTGTTAAGACACTCTTTTTACACGACCAAGTGTTATGTTCAACGTTTGTGGATGCATCTGTAGCAGTGACACCTGTGCTGCAGTGCAATGTGAACCAGTCAGAATTGCCCTGAGGAAGGCGATAGACGGTCACCGAAATGTCGGCTGTGAATAAAACACTTGGTTGTGCAAAAAGAGCGTCTTTATTCAGTGACTTACCAACCTGATGAAACTATTCACGGAAGTATTCACTGTTTCATTCATTTTTCAGTGATGATTTCATCACGTTGGTGATTGAATAGCAAAGTCCTTTATTCACATTGTCCACCTATTTAACAAGGGTCAACATTTCAATGCAGTTACTAGTTATGACCATTGTTTTTGGAGTCTGCAAAGGTGATGATGTAAATCACCGTGTGACTAATATGTGGTGAGGGTTGCTAGGCCTCCATCCGGATAATTTGTAGTGATTCACCAACTTCCAAATAGAAGTACTTGGACCATGGTACACAGGGGCATGCCCCCACTCTGCCCTTCTACCAGTCAAACTAGAAAGTCCTTCTCATATACCCTGTCTTTATTGTCGTGCATTAATGGAGGACAAGGTCAAGGAAGCTTCAAACCTCTGCTACACTAGTAAAGGGCTCTCACTTCAACAGTTTGAAGAAATGACTAATTTTTTTCCATATTTTCTAGTCATGCGACTGATGTTATGGACACAAGTGGCTGGAAGTCCATGGTTCGGAGCCATCCCCATCTTGTTGCCGATGCCTTCCGGGCGCTTGCCAGTTCACAAAGCCCTCCTCTGGGACCACCCCGCAAGAGAATTAAACAGTCGTAGGATTCTTCACTCTGAGGATTTTGTATGTTTGTTCAGGTTCGGTCTATTGTACATGTATGGTCTTCACTTCCCTGCCTTTGCATCTTTGCATGTTTTGTCATGATTCCTAATAATTCATGAGCACCGTTTCTTGTAAAACAATCTGGGCAAATTTTACAGTTGTACTGGATTATGAATGGAAAATTGTAGGGGGTATTTTTGTATAGCCTTATGCCGTTATGGGGATGTGCAGAATGGCTCTATACCAGGATAGCCACCATTGGCAGATCGGCAGAACATACATGACAGATGTACTGCGCCTGCACAAAACCTGTAATGTATTGTGCATAGCACTCCGGCAGAACGTCTTGTTTGAGGTTGAATTTGTGTATTTAAGGATGACATCCCGTCTGTAGTTTTCAAGTTTTGTGTCAGAAAAAATATTGTCAGCAACAGGTAAAATTCTGATGCAACGTTGACCAAACATGCAACGAAAACTGTGGAAAATCCGGGTTTTGCACAGGTGCAGTACGTTCTGCTGACATGCTCCATGGCCCTATATTCCTGCTGCAAGGCTTACGGCTTCCTCATTCTACAGCTAGAAATTTTGAATAGGTTCATTATTTTCATATGCAAGAGAAATCACCCTATATGTAAACATAATCTGTGCCACTGATGGAAATTTTAGTTTGGACACCAACAGGCTGTATACTAGTACTTTACCCCCTTCCCCTCCATCCTCATTAGATTGACATTGATAAGTGTATCGTTATGAACTATGAAAACTTGACACAAACATACATGTACATGTTGTTAGTGTGTACATCTCTGGTACCACGTATAACTTTAGGAAGCTCAAGTTGTCCTGTTGTGTTTTTAGTGAGTTTTCGTTTAGACACACTGACTTGATTTCATGGAAGACGTGCTTCAAATTTCGTCAAAAATAAGGAAATTATGTCATGTGGCCCCTCCAAACTACAGACAAAGATCTGCAAGAAATTATGCCATTATGTTTAGGGTGCCATATAAAATTTGACTAAGTGATTCTTCTTTTTTTCTTCATCACTACTGAGCTTGCAGTGCTTATTGTGTTGTACAATGTTCTCACAATCTTTGTGATTACTTACAAGTAAATTTCGGAGTTCAGGCATTTTTTTTTTGCCCTTCTTTTCGATTTTTTGCCTCCAAACATCAGTTTTAATGTGTCCAGAATCATATACTAGTAATTCATGAAATAAAGTCAGTGTGGCCTTACAGGATATCAAAACGTTTCATGTAATTATGAGGCCGGCTGAAGTTACATGTATTTATTTATTTGTCGTAAAGATTGTTACAGTGTCGTATACTCAGCCCCAACAGGACCTATAGGATTCCTCTGTTGACAATATTATGGGGCATTTTGAAAACTGTACAGTTCTAGGATATTTATAAGACACTTATAATGTACAGATACGATGTTACAGTTGTTTGTATGCCTTTGTATAGGGATTTGTTGTTCAAGCTCTTGTACAGAGTCAAGTTTACATGTAGATTATCAAGGTTCCAAGAAGCTCAATTATGCTAATTTAGTTTATTTACAGAATGCGGAAAAGCAGCAGCAGGTATTTCTTGAATGGACATGTAGTTCCGACTTGTTAAGTCTTTGTAAAGAAATTTCAGGCAAACTATTAGGGAAGGTTCAGTTGTATACTCTGAAATACACAAAATTTAGTGTGATGTGCATTTGAGGAAAGAGTGTATGACCCAGAAGCAGTCCTTAGATACACTTTAATTAAATTCATGTACATTTGTATCTTGGCATTTGGATTTAAAAACAGTGTCAGTTATCTGAATCATGGATAAAGTTGTAGAATAATCCCTACCCTAGGCCCGGTGAATTGTAAGGTGCTAGTAAAAGATGATCCAAGTCTTTGTTGCACTTTTGATGTATCTAGTACCATATGTATCTAGTACCCATATGCATGTATTATGATGCATACACTGTACATGTTTGATAGCACCTGGGGAAGAATTCCACGCTGTTTTGATTGACGGAATGTCAGTAACCTGGATACTGTCCATCCCTAGGTAGAGATGAGCAAGGCAAACTTTTCAGTATATTCGGAGAAGAACAATTTTTGATAGCTGCTTTTCTCTTGCCTTCTGTGCAAACTTCTAGCAAGGCAGCGTTTTATTTCTACAATTGAGTGGTTAAAATGGCAGTTTCTTTTCTGGGGGAAGGGCTCCGTTCAGGAAAGCGCTGTGTCTGCATAGGCGGCTGTATTGCACGCTAGTTGGAGAGAGGCATTATATACTGTGCCTGTGCAAAACCCCTAATGTATTGTGCATCTTAGCACTATGGCAGGATGTCTGTCTAAAGATCAAATTTGTGTATTTATGGATGACATCCTTTCTGTAGTTTTCGAATGTTGTGTCGGAAAAAGATATCATCTGCAATGGGCAAAATTCTGATGCAACATTGACCAAAATCTAGGTTTCGCACAGGTGCAGTATGTTCTGCCAAATTGTGCTATAATGTACTAGTACGTACATGTACATTGTAGCACAGACATCTGGTAGTCCATTTCCCTTTCCATATTCAACATTACAAATTACCCCCCCCCCCACCTCACCCCACATGGCATATACAACACAAGTTCAAGTGTTACATCACCATCATTTTATTTTGCAGTACTTATGTATAAGTCTTGATGTAGTGCTATAGCATAGTTTGCATCTTATAAAGTGCATTTTGATAAAGACATATGGCTTAGTGCTATCTTTAATGTCCAGTAAGTTGATATTTATGGGCAAGAATAAGATTGTATGTTTCCAGCCCAAATGCGAGTTAGTTTGATTTACATTTGGCCACCCTGTCACTAAAGTTGAGAAGCCAGATGTAGGTGTGAATAATGAGTATACAGTCCAGGTTGCTGAAGCAGCCCTTACATTTCATGTACATTGAAACGAGAAGAAAAAAAAGAACTTTTCAATAATCAATAAACAACAGTTGTCATTCTTGTCTTTTTCACTACCTAGTATGTTATACTTATATTAAGATTACGTAAGTTATTTAAAGGCAAACAAATGCATAAAAATACAAATGTGGAAGTCATTCACATAATAAAATGTCATGGATTTTCACCTAGAAGATAGAAGTTGCTCACATGTAATATTTGTACACTTCAAGCAGAGGTTTAGGCTTGGCTTACATTTTTTATTTGTTTTTAGGCATTTTACCAGGCTTCCTTTTTTGTACTCTGATATATTTTTCTATCTTCAGGTTCTGTATTGGATACTACATTGTACATGTGTACCATGCATGCCAATGATGCTGTCTTCCAGTCACCAAAAGATCTACTTGGGGGTAACAATGTTTAATCTCCAAGCAGATCCTAGGGTGGAAAAAGACAGTTCATCAAATTGAAAGATGGACCCTTGCTGGCGAATGGATACTGCCTTGCCAATTTGATACTGTCTTTCAGTGCCACCCTAGGATCTGCTTGGAGATAAAAAAACTCTTTGGGTGCATTTACATTCTGGGATTCACACAGTCATGTACATGTACATTCTAGCAATGCCTGACATACAGACATTTGACTAAATCTTATCGATGACGTGGTAGAACTTGAAAGGCTGGCCCTCCTGTTCAGCTGACCTGTGCTGGGCGTACAGGGTGTGGGTGTACCCACCATAACAGTTACATTACAGGATTCACGCAGTCACAGTACATTCTAGGGATGGGCTGACATACCGACATTGTACTAAATCTTATCGATGACATGGTAGAACTTGAATGGCTGTCCCTCCTGTTCAGCTGACCTGTGCTGGGCGTACAGAGTGTGGGTGTGTACCCTCCATAACAGTTACATTACAGGATTCACGCAGTCACAGTACATTCTAGGGAATTTTTGGGCTGACATACCGACATTATACTAAATCTTGTCAATGACATGGTAGAACTTGAAAGGCTGTCCCTCCTGTTCAGCAGACTTGTGCTGGGTGTACATAGTGTGGGTGTACCCTCCATAACAGTTACATTACAGGATTCATGCAGTCATGTACATTCTAGCAATGCCTGACATACAGACATTATACTAAATCTTATCGATGACATGGTAGAACTTGAAAGGCTGTCCCTCCTGTTCAGCTGACTTGTGCTGGGCGTACAGGGTGTGAGTGTACCCTCCAACACAGTTACATTACAGGATTCACGCAGTCACAGTACATTCTAGGGATGGGCTGACATACAGACATTTGACTAAATCTTATCGATGACGTGGTAGAACTTGAAAGGCTGACCCTCCTGTTCAGCTGACCTGTGCTGGGCGTACAGGGTGTGGGTGTACCCTCCATAACAGTTACATTACAGGATTCACGCAGTCACAGTACATTCTAGGGATGGGCTGACCTACCGACATTGTACTAAATCTTGTCGATGACATGGTAGAACTTGAAAGGCTGTCCCTCCTGTTCAGCAGACTTGTGCTGGGCGTACAGAGTGTGGGTGTACCCTCCATAACAGTTACATTACAGGATTCACACAGTCACAGTACATTCTAGGGATGGGCTGACATACAGACATTTGACTAAATCTTATCGATGACATGGTAGAACTTGACAGGCTGTCCCTCCTGTTCAGCTGACCTGTGCTGGGCGTACAGGGTGTGGGTGTACCCTCCAACAAAACTGGTCTTCAGAAGCTTCTCAAAAGCCTTCAGGGTCAACGGCCTCGAGGACGATGACCTGTGTTAGGGTTAACATGAAGTCATTAGAGTTGTTTTATGCATGATGTCAGCAACAGCTTACTACACATTTTTGAGTATTACATGTCAAGAAGGTTTTATCTAAGAAAACAAGCAACAAAAAAAGGTTGAATGTGGATAATAGATATGCACATACCGTGGTTTAACTGTCTTGTTGGTATCATTTGCAAGCTGACCAGTTTCCTACAGAACATATTAAGCAATGGTCAATCAACATGTTTTAATATAACCATGATGGCTGAAGGTCTGCCAAAGGAATACAGTTTGAATATTGCTTGGGAGCAGCAAACTGTACTCTTTTAGCAGAGTCTGACCTGAACTACATGTTATCTGTGTATCAATTTCTACTCACTCCAGCCACTTGTCAAGCCTGGTAGAGTCTACCTAATTAGCACAAGTTGCCCAAACATTGGAAGCCTTAACCCTCATATGTATGTAACAGTGAGGCGCTACCAACTGACCCGGCTGATAGGTCTAGACCTTTTCGGCCGAGCGGTTAGAGAGTCACACTGGTGCCCGGGAGGTCGTGGGTTCGAACCCCGGCCCGGGACCAGAGGGGTTTTCATCTGTTTCTACTGGCTCCTCCTGTTTCTTACATGTACATGTATTACTCGAAGCCTGCTTACCTGTGTGTCTCCCTCCAACTGGTCAATCACCATGACCCCTCCCTTCTTCAGCAGGACGGCCATGTTGGAGATGGCTGACCTCATGTCCTCCTCACGTAACGTAGCGAAGGCGTCGTTCAAACACAGAACAGCGTCAAATCCTGCACCAATCACCACTCCGTCCTGTCCCAGGTCATGCTCCAGGGTTGATGGACTGGCCTTCGCTATGACTGTGTACAATGAAATGATAACTTAATGTGAAACATGTCGACATTCCTGTACATATTGTGAGCTGGTTTGTACATGTACATGTATTGAGCCATGTAGACGTATGCTGACATCCCCTAACGTCCTATTAAAATATAAGGACAAGTATTTGACTGATCACTCAGTTATACTTTAAAGTAAGTAGATACTAGTAAGCTGTATCACAACATTGCTATATTGGCTACTCTTAGCAGCAAGGAGCAGCACACTAGTTAGAAGTTCTGAGGAAGATGTCTGATGGACATCAAAACATAAGCAGGTGAGAGACACTACTGGTGGTGTAAAAGTAAACTCCAATCTCCTACTTGGTACATGTATTGAATTTCGTTGTTTTCCAATGCTTGTGATCTATGAAAAATTAACAAAGGTTGAGTTCATTTCCTCACCCCATGTGTCAAATCCACGCTGTGTCCTTTTCTTCCATCTCAAGGTCATGACCTTCCTCAGGCTGGCATCGCTGCTGTCACAGCTGACCACCTCCAGACCCTGCTGTACTAGGGCTAGGGAGTCTCCCCTGAACACAGGGCAGAACACACTCTAACATTTCTCGGCCAGGACGCGTTTTGCAACTACTACGGAATTGAGCAAATCACCCTTTCTTCCTCCAAACTCCATCTCTAAGGATAAAGTTCCACATAGAAAGCTTCTTACCAAGGACATTATACAGAGATAATGTCCTTGTTCTTACCTAGAACAGTAACTGTTACTACATCACTATGGAACAAGCTTTCTTGTGAATTCTTCCCAAATGGGTACTATCTTAAACATATTTAAGTCTAGGGTGAACAAACATCTGTCTCTGCAGTTCATTCATGTAACCAAGGAACCCAAAACATGTATACTAAGGGAACTTCATATGAACCTTGTTTTGATGTGAAAATTGAAATGAACTAAATAAAAAATCAACTTTCTTTAAAAAATGCACATTTCATAACGTTGTATGAAAGCCTTTCCCTGAATATCTGAAGTAAAATGCATAATGTTTACCTTCATATGGTATAGCCATATGACATTAATGTAACATAATTACCCATCCCCACAGGCTGTGTCCAGGACCCGTTTGCAGCTCCTCTGTCCCAGGACAGTCCTCAGCCAGCCTGTGCGAGTGGAGGGGGCAGGGTCTGTCTGTCCTTGCATTGTCAGATCCAATCACTGGAAAATACATTAAAAGAGTATTGCACAACAGTTGTGCAGGGTCTAGTATGGCATCTACTAGTACATATTAACTACACTTTCATAAGGCTAATAACGTACCTAATACAATATTGGGTGGCTACTATGGGATAGGTATCAGAACTTTTACAATCATTGGAGGAGTTTCTAATATCTATTTACAGGAAGTCCATGGCTGACAACTAAGAAATGATCTGGACATGAAAACCTATCTGCCTAAAAAATACCAATACTGTAGTATGTCCAGGAAAAATGTACAAAAACAGGAAGTTCTGCTGCAGTACCAAGGTCTGCCACCAGGAGGCCCATAAATTATCCCGACCTTCATTTTTTCAAGACTTACTGACATACCAAATATCAGGATGATAATTATCTATTCAGTTGTCATGTTATGCTTACCACAAATATATGGAACACATGCACTCACTCACTCACACACACACACACACACACACACACACACACACACACACACACACATACACACACACTCAAACACACACACACACACACACACACACACATACACACACAAACACACACACAGAAAACAATACCTCCATTTTTCACAGAGGTAATGACACTCTCAGTGTGGTTTTTAATTTCCTGCATTTTATGTTTACTGTAACTTAAGCTGGAGGCTAAAGTTAAGGATCAACCTTCAACTTCAGTGTTCTATTCAGTCAACACTACACTTGCTTAGTCACAGACATGCATGGATGATGAAATACTATTGTCACCTTGGGGCTAGAATTTGTTTAAAGAACGGAGCGTCACTTCCTTCAGCTGTGGATTAACCGGATAATGCAGCCTTTCGAAAAATATGTTGTCAAATTTTGAGAAAGAAACTTACAAAGTAAAGTATTTGTTTTATTGCAAATTCATGCCCGAGGGCTAATTGCAGGAACAGAAGAAACATTTGGTATAAAAAAAACAGACAATTGGTACACATAGAACTACAGATAACTAAATTAAATACTGATACTAATAAAAACGAAGAGCCATGCAGGTGTATAATGCCCTCTCCTCTCACTTCTTTTGAGCTTAGCTACAATACCTGATCCTGAGAAAACAAAAAGTCAAGTCAGGTTTTCTTTGGGAGTTGTCCTTTTAGACAGAAGCTAATATTGGTTGCTGGAACAAATATTGATTGTGCAGTAGTATGGTTGAGTGCAGACATTGTATGCGCCTCCATGTTTGTGTGAAATATGTAGGGATCAGGGCTGGGGGGCACGGTGCCTTCCGCAATTCTTCTACGAATGTCAGGCTCAGTCAAAACGTGATCCGGTTAAGTAAAGAGAGCCTTAAGTCAGTCAACACCTGGGTGGCCAAATGTTTTCCTCTTCAAACCTGTTCATTATGTTCTCTGTGTGATTTTTTAAAAAAATCATACATCTTTTGCATCATACTCTCTTAAAGCATACTGACATCATTCTGACAAGATTTACTGAGCCATGCAGTTAGACCTAGACTGACAAATGTAAACATGATTAATTTTTCTGTTTAAACCTTTTGATATGTTCTCTTTGTGATATTTTTTAATCGTACATCTTTTGCATCATACTCTCTTAAAGCATACATCATTCTGACAAGAATTCTACTGAGTCAGTTAGTCAACACCTAGACAGACATATGTAAACATGATTTTCTGTTTAAACCTTTTGATATGTTCTCTTTGTGATTTTTTTTATCATACATCTTTTGCATCATACTCTCTTAAAGCATACATCATTCTAACAAGAATTCTACTGAGTCGGTTAGTCAACACCTAGACAGACATATGTAAACATGATTTTGATATGTTCTCTTTGTGATATTTTTAAATTGTACATCTCTTGCATCATACTCTCATAAATCATTATGTCATTCTGACAAGATTTACTGATTTTGTTGATTCTGGTAGCATTGTTTGAAATTTCATTGGCAATAAAATGTGTAATTAATTATCTTACTTGATGTTTAAGCCTAATGACAGTAGACTCTACTCTTGTTGACAATGTCTCAGTGTTTAGAAATCCCAGTCACCCAAGAGGATATGCAATGTGGATTTAACAAACCCTACTCTTAATGCTTGTCTTAGTCGCTTTAGTGGTACAATGTACCACACCCTGGCACTGGTAGACATAACCAGGTACAGGTTTGACCCAGGCAAAGTGTCTAGACCCGGCTTGTAGGTAGGTGGACCAATGCAGCATGCCATGTTAAACTTTGTGCCTACTAACATCCGTGTCCATAATATCACCAGGGTCCATAATATCGCCACCTTGAAAAACAGTGTGCTTAAAGATATTTTTACTGCAACATACTTTTGGTATGCACTCCTGCACAACTCAAATGTACATACCTAGGGTATGTTGCAGTAAAAATATCTTTAAGCACACTATTTCTCAAGGTGGTGATATTATGGACCCTGGTGATATTATGGACACGGATGTTACATCAGGTTGGTGAATGATTGAATAGTTTTTATTAATCACGGCTCTTGCTAGACAAGGTTTTGTGAACAAAAAACTTTGCTACTTACATGTAACATGTCATCTTTGTAATAACTCTACCACACCTACTAAGCACGACCTAGCAGTTAAGATGTAGCTATTTATTCTCGGTTTATTAGCTAAGGGCAAGCCTCTCTTGAGTCTTTCTATGACCAGCGTTAAGTTGTAAATAATCTAATTGGAATGTTGCCTTTCTAGGTGTTCTTTTAAAAACCATACATAGGGGGAAGTTTTCCTCTTGGGAGTTTAGACACGCACATTCTGCATAATCCATAGAAGTAGGGATTTGGAATGTCCTGTTCGAATCGTCTTTCGGTAGATTCGTATTCCAGGGCCAGTCTAAAAACACGTGAGTACAAAGAAGTGCGAATTTAGAGCAAACTTTGTGATCATTGCCACTCCTTTTTAACCTACGCAGAAAAATACAGGATGTAGACTTACCTTCTTCACAGAAAACCTGTGACGTTATGTACATATGGCAATTTGTTTCATTGCAAGAGCCGTGTGCAGATATTTTGGAGAAGGGTGCAACATTGTGTAGGGCCGCTTGCAAAGTTTTTTCGGACCGTCTTCGCTTATTCATTAAGATTTACCACTGTGACAGTTGTGGAAGGGTTAACATAACAGATGGCTGTCACATTTTTTCAGAATGTTGACCTCGAAACCGGTCTGTAAGGTTTGACCACTCACACCGGGAAGGGCCCCTGGTGTTTTCGAAGTGGGATCATTAAGAACTTGAGGTGTGGCTCTCCTCAAACACGGGACCTCCGGCCCTACGACATATCCAAGAAACACGTCCCTAGCCGAAGCTAGGACCCCATGTTCGCCTGAGTGAAGTGAGGAAATAGCTGTTAGTGTTACGTGCCTTTCCCAAGGACACAACACTGAGGCATGTCACGGATTCGAACCCAGAACCTTCGAATCCTGAGTCAATGACCCTAAACACAAGACCGCCATGCCACAGTAAGCTTCGTTCCTACAGGTACACCTCGCCCAAGACGACCAAGACACTGTAAAAGGTAAGGATGTCTACTTCTTCTGTTCCTGACCATTTCTTTAATAGTGGCACTTCTGGTAAGGTGTGTGTATGTGTGTGTGTGGGGGGGGAGGGGTACCCTTAAGTGCTACGACAAGAAGACAAGATAGTAAATGGCTACTGCTGAGGTGTGGTAACAGACAAGCCTAGTCTGTTCTCTGACAGGATCACTCACTGTCCCCCTCACAGATTCAAAGATTTCTGGAGCTAGATACCTTTAATGTTTCAAATGTGTCCCAGGGCCGTAAAAGACTTTGTATGGGTCAACTACCATGGAAAACGTGGGCACCTCAATGTAATGAAAGGGCGACCTATAGATATAACGCTTGAATAGTTCTGTGACATTGTCTGCATGTTTTGCTTTCCACAAAGAGAGATTGAAAAGGTTTTAAAAGCTCTTACGTTCTTGCGTAATTCCTAACCTTAAAAGTTAAATGGACTATTAAATGTTTTGTTAGTTTTAAATTTGAAAGAACCTTTGTAAAATGAGCATGAAAGGTGAGACAATCCGGGTCAACGTTGACCTGTTTACGTTTGTTTCAGACCGAGGTTGTGGCAACAATATCAGGTGCGGTTCAGAAGGGGTTACTGCACGCCAAGACAGTACTACAAGCTGACAGACGACACAGCCCAGCTCTCTTCGCGGAGACAACTGTCTTCAGATCCCACCGTAAAGAAATTGTCGCTCTAGCCGCTTGTAGAAACGAACGCTGCTCGCTAGAAGTCTGCACAGGAGGCTAACAAGTAGGCCACCTGCAGATTTCCTTGCGAAGTGGGGCTTTCTGCAATGAAATCGTCCGGGGTCCTAGGATTGTTGGTACAAGGACTATGCTGTCGCCTTGTGTGCCTTTTTTCTGATACTGTCCAGGGGATCACCTGTGCTACACGCGGTATCAAGTACTGAGCGAGGGCGAAGGAACTCGGGACAGTGTTAGAAAAACCCCAGGGCCTGTGAAAAACACGGTGAAGTTTTGGCTAGAGTTTCTTGTGGTCTAAGTGAAGTTACCTTTATTTACTCTCGACCTGCAAGCGCAAACAATATGTATTCTCTGGCTCTGTTTATGGTACTTTTGAGTGGTTTGTTGCTACCGTCGAGTGCTGATACCCTACAGGACAGGAATGGGGAAAGTCAACATGGAAACAGCAGCGTACCGGACTCACATTCGGCCTTGACCTCGGAGGTACTCTATTCCGTGTTCGAGAAATACGGGACGGGGAACGGGACCATCGACTTTCATGGGTTTGAGGAACTTCTGACAAACCTGGGTCTAGGCAAGGTAAACCATGATTTTTTTTTTGTTTCTAGGTTTTCGTAGTCTTGTTACTGAACCTATTGTAGCTGTCGAGTCTCTCTCTTCCTCTCCGCTAATGGGTCTGGAGATAAAGAGGCTCGGCTCGGCAGCTAAAGGTTGTTAACCAGACTGGATATTTTCTTGTTAGGAAACAAACAATGCTATAAATACAATGTAGTAGAATGTAGAATGTTCATACGTCTTGTGAATGGATGCATCAAGTGTTGCTAAGATTCTCTAAACGGAGACGCAACAAGAACTTTAAAGCATTCCAGAAACGAATTGGAGCGTTTGTCTATTCTACCAGCAAATGTTTATGCTTCGGCTTATTTTCACGTGTTTTATGCGTTTTTATTGGAATTTTTTCGTACTGGTATCTTTTCATACAAGCCAAATGGAGGCTGCCTTGCTTAGCAAAGGGGCACTGCCTTGGCAAAGGGCACTGCCCTGTCAATTTGATACTGTCTCGCAGCCACTAAAAGGTCTGCTCAGAGATAAGTGTTTATCTACAATTGTCACGTTTCCTTTCAAAATCATCTGCTTCGATACGGGACAGGAATAGTACTGAAAAATGCGATGCTCTAGTCACGCGCCAGGGGGCGCAAATAGACTGCCATCTGATTACCGTGTCAGCCACTGTTTGTAAAGTTATGGTCGAACGCCCCTGTTGTAGCCAGAAACATGCTTTATCCAGAACCTTTCTCAGGCATGGTTTTTGATAGTTAACGCGTATCCAGAACCGTTCCTGGGGCAAATCTACGTTTTGGATACGCTGAGACTATCCAAAATCGTGCCTGAATCTAATACTAGTAGCCCTACCCCTTGTAGGCAAGGAACTAGATACTATATTAGATAGAAAGATAACATGCCAAGGCAGTTGTTCCGGAGAACAGTTCGCCCCTCTTAAGGCCTCTTAATTGTACTCCTTTAGCAAATTAACTGCCCTGACATGTTATCGGTCTTTTTGGCCAACGTCTACTCTTTCCAGTCGCTTCTGGAGGCTGGTAGATACTAACATTTCCGTTTTCTTTCTACCAAGGTCCAGATCATTGAAGAGGAAGCTGACCTCACGCATGGGCACGGGAAACACGACTACGCAACACACTTGGACCTCATAGACCACCATGGGAGGGAAAGCGTCCACAACCACTCATCTGATGATCACGATCATTCCAGACGCCAGCTGGGATACCATCGTCAAACTACAGACCACAGCGATAGTAGTACGATCAAGGAACATCATCATACAAGAGACGACACAAAAGAGCAGACAAGTTACAAAGCTCGCCGCCTCGAAAACAGAGATCGAACACACGGTTCTATAGAACCTAGCGAACACGGTTCTACATTCAAACACGGTTCTATAGAACCTGACGAAGACGATTCTACATTCACACACGGTTCTATAGAACCTGAAGAACACGATTCTATAGAACCCGTCCGTTCTATAGGACAAGAAGGACATGGCGAAGCCGAGGAGCGCCACGGGAAAAATGGCGAAAACGATCGCAATTCAGAACATAATCCTGTGGATGGTGGCTCCAAGACTGATAGTCACAGCAGTTCAAGACATTCGCGTTCTTCAGATGGTGCTAAGAAAGCACAACGTTTAGACGTACGTGATTCCCGCTCCTTTCTGTTGACGGAACTCGATTCACCTGCTCCAAGACTGAAGCGAAGAAGCGTTCCGAAGCAAGCGAGAATCGGACATGCCCATGCACACGAGGAAGGCGCACACTTCCACGAGCCTCACGAAACGGATGAAAAGGTGACTGATTTGACCTCACGAATTCAAAACAACATGTTTTCTTGTATCTTTCCTATATACGTTAACGAGTTCCATCTTATCTACTATGTATTGTATTTACATGTTTTTCTATTGGCACAGTGTCTCTCCCCAAAAGAGATTCTGAATGACTTCTCCATCACTTCTGAGGCGCTGATCAGCGAGAGACAGTTCCTGCACATCTGCCCCCTCCTCATCACACAAATCGACAGCCGTGCTTGTATCCAACACAGTAACAACACGCATGCGGTGCGAACCACTGAGCCTTTGGGTAGCGGGCCTGGGGCCGGTAAGTGTCAGTATGAGTGACTTGTTCTTGAGTTATCCTCCTTCAAGTGTTTTTCAGCAAACGATTCCTGCAGTTCAAGAACAAGCTGCTGGGGGGCCCATACGTACACCACTTACTCCCAGCCCAAAGAACTTTTCACTACCCACAGTTCATTAACTTGACACTTAAATTCATTCATTACCGAACTTGACCTTTCTCTTTGCGACCCATACCCATCCACTAAATATCATGTACGACCATTCACAGCTTCTTCAGTTAAGTTGTCGATATACAAACACACATCCATACATAGCAAACGCCAGGTAAATCGTTTTTTAACCTTACCTTCATTTTCACAACGGTTACTCGCCTACCAAAAATCATTTTCCTTCCACAGCGTCTCGAATTATGCACATTCATACACACCCACACCACAGCTGATTCACCATGAAACATAACATTCCTGTCGAAGACAATTAAATTACTAGTATATTTCTACAAACAAATATTTGGCCATTTTCCCCACAGTTTGGGGGTGGGCATCCCTGGCCGTCACCGTCATCAGCCTGGTGTCCCTATTGGCTGTTGCCATGGTACCGCTGACGACGAGATCGTTCTATACATACCTCATCACGTTCCTGGTGGCCCTGGCTGTCGGCTGTCTGTCTGGTGACGCCGTGCTACATCTCATACCACATGTACGTAAGGAGTGTGTGTGTGTGTGTGTGTGTGTGTGTGTGTCTTTAGTTAGTGTTCAGCACCAAGGACAGGTATGTGTGTGTGCGTGCGTGGTTGTGTGTGAGTGTGTGTGTGTGCGTGCGTGTGTGTGTGTGTGTGTGTATGTGTGTGCTACGTATGGATAGCGTTCAGCACCAAGGACAGGCATGTTAATGTGTATGTGCGTGCGTGTGTGTGTGTGCGTGCGTGTGTGTGTGTGTGTGTGTGTGTGTGTGTGCTGCGTATGGATAGCGTTCAGCACCAAGGACAGGCCTGTTAATGTGTGTGTGTGTGTGTGTGTGTGTGTGTGTGGATAGTGTTCAGCACCAAGGACAGGCATGTTAATTTTAAGATTACATTGACAATGCATGTTCTTAATTTTGTGAGTACGAAGACATATAAAACTACGTTTCTAACATTTTCTTTTCCACACCAGGCTTTAGGTATCCATGGCGACCACGATGAAGCCGATCAGGATCACGTGACGGAGGCAGACCCAGCCAGCTCCGTCTGGAAAGGCTGCGTGGTGCTTGTCGGGATTTTTTCCTTCTTCATCCTCGAGAAAACTATCGGTGTGGTGACGTCAGCAAGGAGTAAGGTACGGCCTCAGTTTATTTGGCAACTATCAAGGCGCATGCTCAATTGAACAAGCGCTCTGGCACTAGCGCGTCTGCAGAACGTACTGCACCTGCGCTAAACCCGTAGTGCATTGTGCATAGCACTTTGGTAGAAAGTCTCATATAAGGCCGTATTCGCATATATAAGGTTAACATCTCATTTGTAGTTTCCAAATGTTATGTAAAAAAAATATCGTCTTCAACAGGCAAAATTCTGATTCAACGGTGATCAAAACTCCAACGAAAATCTTGTTTTACCGGAGCCCAAAACGACACTGCGACAGAGCTTTTTCAGGCTGTTTCTAACCCTTCCACACCCATGTTCAACCTTTGCCCGGAGAAGCCTTGTCGTAGTGTTGTTTTGGGCCTTGGTACATGTTGAAAATGTGACAATTTATTAGACAGTTACTCAAGCAAACACTGTTCGTGTAATCTTGCGTTCATGTGCCTGATTTCATATACAGAAGAAAGACCGACTACATCTACGAAATAGCTTCTTCAGAAATCGGGAAGACTTCGTAGGCTACAAGCTGTCCACTACCTTCAGCGACGAACCAGAAATAGAACTGAGTCTAATGGATGAAGGTTAGTGTAAACAAAAATTACGCGGTCTCAAAATTTCGCCAAATGATGTTAACCTTCAAAGATGAAGTATAATGATTATACAGGTTTCTCGTGATCATGCAAATGAGGCCCTCGCCAGATAGCCACTAGTTAAACTGCAGGCTCAATGTTATCTGTCTATTTGGCCAATTTCATCTTTTTTCAGCCACCTATGAAGCCTGGTAGAGACTAAGATCTATATACACAAACTGGATATTGACAGTTGTTTCCTTTTTGCGGTCCAAGGTGTCCATTCTCAAGAAAATAACGAACAGCGTCCTAGCGGCCATTCTCACAGCCACCAAGGTCATTCTCATAGCCACCAAGGTCATTCTCACAGCCACCAAGGTCATTCTCACAGCCACCAAGGTCATTCTCACAGCCACCAAGGTCATTCTCACAGCCACCAAGGTCATTCTCACAGCCATGGCGGCCACTCCCACGACAGGAATGCTGGGATAGCGTCCGTAGCGTGGATGGTCATTATGGGAGACGGACTTCACAACTTCGCTGACGGAGTGACTATAGGTACGGCTCCATTCTGTATCTGTATCAGTATAGCCAGTATAACAGCCCCTCGGTGTAACACACCAGCATCGCAGGCACGCGGCGCGGTGGAAGCTAGACTATATTACACCGTACGTCTTGTTATAACATTGTTAAAATCTATCTAGCGAGGATGCACCCACTGTACTTGGTGGCTCCATTGGTATATTACAGTTATTTGGTGAACCATTTTTCAGTGCATGAAGATCGTGTTTTTTCCCCAAAATGATCGCAATGGTCGCGTACAGACAGCTGTGTCAATGTGAATACTGTTCAGCACCAAGGACAGCTGTATGTATGTATGTATGTGAGTGTCATTCGGAAATGAGAATAGTCTAGTGTGAATGTCATTCAGAAGCAAAGAAAGCAATGTCTGTTTGAATGTATAACAGCAGAGATACAGCTATATCAGTGTGAATACTGTTCAGCACCAAGGATAGCTATACTGAATTTTAACGAACAGTCATGCAGTGTAAATGTCGTTCAGCTGCAAGGACAGCAATGTCTGTTTGAATGTCATTCACCTAGCAGCAGAGACAGCTGCATCAGTGTGAATGCTGTTCAGCACCAAGGGCAGCTATACATTTATATAAGTGTCATTCGGTAATGAGAACATTTTATATATGAATGCCATTCAGCACCAAGGACGCCCAACTTAAGGACAGAATTGTCACTTATTTATAACATAAAGGTATTTTCACGTATTCTGTTGTTTCTCTAGGAGCTGCCTTCGCCGCTAGTCTTACCGCGGGACTCAGTACGTCAATCGCAGTGTTCTGTCACGAACTCCCTCATGAGTTGGGTAAGTAATAAGAACAACTTTCCAAAATACACAAACAAAATTTGTAAATGATGTTATGCGTCAGAAAGTAAATCTTTATGTTACTATAAAGGCCGCGAACAATTTCGTCTTTCTTCACAAAAGACTAAAATGCCGTTGACAATTTTGCTCTGTTTCTTCTCCGAACACATAAGTTCAATGACCTTGGCCAGACGTCTGTCACCATGGCAACTGGTGCTGTAGTAGACACTCGGTGGTGTTGGGTTACATTATGTAGCAAGTGGCGGCCAGAGTTGTAGGCACTGGTATCACCACAAATGAATGTGTTTGAGTAAAATAAACAGACCAGCAATTTGTTAGGCTAGACCATGTGAAAATAAACGTTATGCATTTGCTTTGCCAATATTACCTTTCTAGTTATAATTGAGCCCTTTTCTTATTTGTCTCCAACTGGTTTTCAGGTGATTTTGCGATACTTCTCAAAGCTGGGATGTCATTCAAGCACGCCATAACCTACAACCTGGTGTCTGGTATTATCAGTTTCGTGGGTATGGCCGTCGGAGTCGGGATGGGCAAGTCCAACCAAGTCGGCCCCTGGGTCTTCGCTTTGGCCGGCGGCATGTTTCTGTACATCGCTCTTGTGGACATGGTGAGTTTGAATCATGTCAGTATTATCCTTTGATAGATTTAGCCATGTTTAGGTTTAATGTAATACTTACTTGAGTATTGCATACTGAGATTTTCTTATATCTCTTTAACCAGATATTCTTCCTACCTTGCTTATGTTTCGATGTCTATCAGACACCTTCCTCAGAGCTTCTGACTGTAGTACTGCTTCTCGCCGCTATATGTAGCCGATGTAGGTGGCGCTTTTGCGGCGCGAACACAATCCCAAACTTGAGCATTCTCTTCATGCCTCACTTTATCATTTGATTATCTCTTGATTATCTCTAGCGAGAAATAAGGCTATGACTTTTTCCTTTCCTTCTGGGCCTGTCCTTGGCCATGTTCTTTACTGATCGCCAGGATAATCCCATGGACGCCAGATCATCTGTTATAGTTCTTATCCAAGTGGTTTTGGGTCTGCCTCGTTTCCTTTTCCCCACCAGGTCTTCGATTTAAGGCTCTTTTAGGTATTCTTTAGGTAGTCATGTTTAGTACGCGGCCAAGCCATGTCAGCCTTTGACTGCATTGTCTTGTGATACGAATTTGATTCTGAGGCACATTCTGGGTCTAAATCGTATTTTAATTGTCGTGGTTATCATACATAATTCACTCTATTTAAGTTGGTCATGTACGCCTTTCTGTCCTTCTCAAGTTACCAGAACTGCTCCATGGATCCTCGGAGGACAGAAGTGACACAGACGATCAGAAGAAGAAGAAGACAGCTAACTCTGCGGTTGTTCATGTCCTTGTACAATCGGCAGGCATGCTCACAGGCGTGGTCATCATGCTGCTGATAGCTATATTTGAGGATGACTTGGAGAAGGTGCTGGGACAATAGACCCATCCGAATCGAACCCATCGAACTCCATCGAACCCCATATTCTATTTCAGGGGTTCGATGTGTTCGATCCAATTCAAACACCTTGGTCAAAATAGAACAGGAGGTTCGATGTGTTCGATCCAATTCAAACACCTTGGTCAAAATAGAACAGGGGGTTCGATGTGTTCGATCCAATTCAAACACCTTGGTCAAAATAGAACAGGGGGTTCGATGTGTTCGATCCATTTCAAACACCTCGGTCAAAATAGAAAAGGGTGTTCGATCCATTTCAAACACCTCGGTCAAAATAGAACAGGGGGTTCGATGTGTTCGATCCATTTCAAACACCTCGGTCAAAATAGAACAGGGGGTTCGATGCGTTCGATCATAAACCTGATGCGGTCCGTCTCTTTCTTACGGAGCGCCATGCCAGTTTTCTAAGATGCTATCTTGGGGCTTTCGACTTTCATGATAACAGTGATATCCTTTGTCATCATACATGAAATTTCTCACAAATTTTAAAGAAGGTTTTAGATGTACTCTATCTTTAGATGAATATATATGCACGTAATGTATTTTAATGCACACTAAACGTGTTTGTTTGTACTCTAATGTGCTATTATTTGTGTATCTTACAATGTATAGCAATCAACGTTTCAACATTGTATACTTTAAATTTTCTGTGTTGAATTGTGTCTTCTACAGTTATCTATATCATTACAGCAAATGTACAGACTGAATCAATCGGACAGAGTACAGAGATGTGCACTATGCAGACGAAACTATGGTAATAGTGACAGAAAAATGAGAATAAACTGTGATTTTCAAGACATGACAAAGTCCTTTCAACCTCTTTATTCACCCAAGTCCATTTGCAAACGCGTATTCCAACAATGTATATGAATGAATGAATGAATGAATGTATAAGTTCACCTATGACGTGATATTGTAACAGATCGACAGATGAGGTACTACGTACAAAACTTAATAGTAAAGCCCTTTATTCACAACCACTTGTTTAACAAGAGATTGCTAATTATGGCCAAGACGCAATCACCCAGGGAATTTATGATATAAAGGTACTTAACGTTAAGCAAACCCCAGCAATTACAGAACCAATTGATGTAAAACATTTGTCTTAAGTATCTGATTTCTGAATAATTGTAAGACCTCAGGGGTTAAAGGTCTTTTGAAATGTGTAATACAATGGAACTATGCAGAAAGCAGCCACCACACATTGCTCGAAATTTCCAACAAAAACAAACGGGCTAACTTCAAAAGTTGCAGCAGGAAAAGCGCTTAGCTACACTATTACTTGCATGAGGCGTAATTACTATGTGATCTAGGAGCAGCATACACTTTCTTAGTGTATGGAAACCCTGTTGACATTTGGGCTGTGCTGTTCATTCCCCCACTGTAGGCTAGTCACCAGCTTTTATCTCTAGGCCAGAAGTCTAGTTAACGACTTCTACTTCAACTGCGGGTGCCAAGTTGAATCGCCCGGATGTAGAGGTGAATTAGAACGTCCCAGACGACATGGACATGGACATTCCTGAAAAATAAAACACTTGTGTCAGAAACGATGGAATATGGAAAAAATGAATTCGAAGAAAATAATATTATTTACCTTCGCACGGTCTAGCCGCACTAACTACGTACTCTGATTATTCCTATTCAAACACATTCATTCATACATATGGTGGCCAGCCCCTCGAACTAGATCTGTCCTGCCACTTGCTACATGATGCAATCCAACACCACAGGGTGTCAGCTACAGCACCAAATTACCATGGTGATAGACGTCTGGTCCAAGTGATTGACCTTATTTGTTCGGAACAGAAGAACAACTTGGAGCAAATCAAGTTGTGTGGTTTTCATAATCTCCAAGCAGATCCTTGGGTGGCGTATTGGACCCTGTCTGGAAAATGGATACTGCCTGGCCAATTTGACACTTTCTTTTTGCCTCTCTAGAATTAAGGATCTGTTTAGAGATTATTGCTTTCCTTCTGTGGAGGTTAACATAACTGAATTAAGATAACTACAAATACCGACCTCCGCCACTGGCTTTGAAGGTAGAGCTGGAAGAGCTGAAGCTGGAGCTACCCCCCGCGAAGCTGGAGCTACCCCCCGCGAAGCTGGAGCTACCCCCCGCGAAGCCACCTCCCATGCCGCCGCCTCCACCGCCGCCGAGCATCATCGCACCTCCGGCTCTGTGTGGCAAAAACCGATATTAAATGCACTCATGATCAAAGTGACTAAACGGGATATTAAAATTTCACTTTTCTGGTCTTCTTTAATGAACTAAAAGTTGAATCAGCCCTATCCCAAAGCTAGTAGTGCCGACTCTGCGGTCGAACGTATTCTGCTGAAAGTCAGAAAAAAAATACGGCAAAATTTACTGAAAATTGTCTTATGATCTCATATTCGTGGCTTTTTCTAGATCTGTAATTCTGCCTCAAATGGGGCGCTAGTTTTACTGTAGCGTCCTCGCTGAACATGTGAACAAGATGGCCGCTCGCGATCGGGTTTGCTGTCCAAACGAAACGTTCGTAGATGGTCGACTTACCCTCCTCCGCCTCCACCTCCGCCGAGTGACAGCCCCGCGCCTAGGCGGCTCTCCTCACCTTCCAGCAGTTTACTACAGAAGAATAGGAGCGAGTTGTAAGTAGTGTTTTTATTGTATTTCAATTTGGAAATACATACATACATACGTAAATACATACATACATACAAACATACATACAAACATACATACATACATACATACATACATACATACATACATACATACATACATACATACAAACATACATACATACATACATACATACATACATACAAATGAAAAAAAAGAGATATCAGGAAGAGGTATAAATGTAAACCACGGCTCCAACGATAAATGATAAGCACTGGATATCATACTGCAATGGATGATTGTATCAAGGAGGTTTATTTAAAAAAAAGTACACCTCCTCGTCGACAAGGTATGGTTGGTCAAAATCGCTTTTCCTGTTTTTCCTATATCATTTCCACACAACAAACAATGCCTATGAAGATACAGATACAGAAGCTGTTTAATGTTTTGTTCTGAATATGAAGTCTTGAAAGTGCAGTTCTGTACTGTACCGGTAGGCGGCGATCTCCACATCCAGCGCCATCTTGACGTTCATGAGCTGGGTGTACTCGGCCATCTGCACGGAGATCTGACCGCGCAGTTCCTGTAGTTCCGTCTCCAGAGCGCTGATCTCAGTCTGTTTCGCCTCGAGCTGGGCCACTCCCTTCGCCTCCACGGCCGCTAGTTGTTCCTCAAACCGCGCGTTCTAGTACAAGAGAGGAAAAGTGGTCAAAAAAGATTGTGGTTTTATATCCAGAACTATTCTCTTCCCAAAATCATTTCAGGATAGTCCGTCACAAGAGAGGAAAGGTCAAAACAGACAGTGGTTGTATTCAGAACCGTGCTGTATCCAGGGCCAATATGTTGCTCAGGCATAGGTTCTGGATAGTCCACGCGTATCCAGAATCGTGCTTTATCCAGAATCTTGCCCATGCACGGTTTCGGATAGTCCACGCATATATCCAGAACTGTGTTTTATCCAGAATCTTGCCCAGGCACGGTTTCGGACCGGATAGTCCACGCGTATCCAGAATCGTGCATTATCCAGAACCATGCTCAGGCACGGTTTCGGATAGTCCACGCATATATCCAGAACTGTGCTTTATCCATAACCATGCCCAGGCACGGTTTCGGATAGTACACGCATATATCCAGAACTTTGCTTTATCCAGAACCATGCCTGGCACGGTTTCGGATAGTCCACGCGTATCCAGATCTAGAATCGTGCGTTATCCAGAATCTTGCCCAGGCACGGTTTTGGATAGTCCACGCGTCTCCAAACAGCAAAGGGATAGCTTGTATATACAGCTATACATACTTGTATTTATTTATTTTTATTTTATTTATTTATTACAATTAACCACATACATAATATACATGGTGGAACAGGTGCACCTATTCAAGGCCACCATGCCCACAAATAAATAGACAATGTGCATAAAAAAAAATACATGGATACACATGATCCAACTAGCACCAGGACTATAGTCCATAAAATAAATAAATTCGCTTCTCTGTAATGATAAAGTACTCATAAAACAGGCTCACCCTTGATTTGGCGGCGTCTATCTGTGCTTGTATTTGCTTCATCTGACTGCCGTACTTGGACAGCTCGGCACGGGCAGCGTCCAAACCGCCACTGGCAGACCCGCTCTGCTGCTGCAGGGTCTGGAACTGTACAGGACAAATATCGTTTTGCAGTACGTGTTTCAGTGTTTCTTACTCTGTCCTGCCACTTGTTACATAATGTAATCCAACACCACAGGATGTCTGATACAGCACCAGTTACTATGGCGACAGCCGTTTAGTCTAAGTCATTGACGGTTCAAAAGCAATATGTATTCCTTCTGCGACCTCATGCCATGTGGGTAACTTACCAATTCCAAGCAGATCTACAAAGACAGTACCAAATTGGCCAGACCGTTATTACAACTTGCCACCATGTACCAATGTGCGAAAGAGGACTCTCTCCAGATGGCCAGTTCTAACCTTAACCCTTTTGCCACCAGACGTCTGCTTGAAGATGAAGCTCACCTTCGTGTCATACCAGCTCTGTGCCTCCTGTTTAGACTGCAGTGCCAGAGATTCATACTGCATGCGCACGTCCTGCAGGATGCTCTCGAAGTCGATTTCAGGGGCCGCCATGGCTTCCAGCTCAAAAACGCCGCCGCCGTCCCCGCCCAACACTTGTCCCTGCAGTGCCTCAAGCTCCTGGGTAGGTGATTGGGCAGAAAGTTATGAGGGCCTGGGGAAAGTATGTTTGCCATTTTTCAAAACCACAAACTCCTTTGCCCTGGGCAAACTAATAAAAGTAACTAGAAAGGTAACATTTGCAAAGCAAATACACAATTTTACCTTCACATGGTATAGCCTAGCCTATCGCACCACTTGCTACATGATGTAATCCAACACCACAGAGTGCCTGCTACAGGACGAGTTACCATGGTAACAGTCGTCTGGTCCAGGTCATTGACCTTATTTGTTTGGAGCGGAAGAAGAAGAAGAAACGGAGCGAAAGCAATATTTTTCCCTTCTGCGAAGGCCTTTCCTGTTGTGAATTGGCCCCCATAACTACATACATGTTACATGTAAAATCCTATACCATCCACTCACTAGAAAACGCCGCGCTCATTGAAACGCAGATCGTTAGAAATTTCTAGATCAGTGTAAGTGACTCACCGCTGCGTACACCTCCTTGAGGAAGTCTATCTCTGCCTTGATGGTGTCCAGCCGGGCCTCCAGGTCCACGCGTTCTACACTCACGCTGTCCATGTCCTGTACAATGTACAACAGAGGCATGTCTTTTTTCCCTAATCATCAGCAAGTCAGTCTTGATTACTAGTACAACAGAGGCATGGCTATGCTATCTTTTTTCCTGATCATCAGCCTTGATGCAAACGTCTTGATGTACACACACCCCTGTCCTTGGTGCTGAACACTATCCACTACATGCGCGCTCGTGCGTACACACACATGCGCGAGGGCACACACGCACACGCGCGCGCGCGCACGTACATTTTCACACAAACGTGCGCGCGCGCGCGCGCACACACACACACACACACTCACACACACACACACTCACACACACACACACACACACAAACACATGTATATGCACACATACAAACACTGTACACACACAAACACGCACCTCTCGACTCACTCAGATTTAACTTTATGCTGTTATTTGATGAGTGATAAGTACAGGTGTGTAACACTCACAGGTCTCAGCTTGTCCACCTCCGCCCGAAGCGTCTCCACAGTCGTGTGCTCTGTGTCGTAGCTGCGGGTGAAAAAGAGCCATTAAAGAAGTGAAGAATTTTACAGCAATTGTGTGCCTATATATAGAGAGAGACAAACCTTCAGAGAATACGATTAACACTCAACTTCTATCTATTTAGTTGAATACGGACCTGGGCGTCCTATTTTTTTGTCAACAGGTCGACCTAGTCTCCACGAGGCACAGTGTTTTTGGAGAGTCTGTCTGTCTATGTTTCTGTTTTTGTTGCTGCCTTTTCAGCATAATTTGGGGCTATACCTCAAGACGCTATGGATATATTGTGAGAATAATTGGTATGTTGGTAGGCCTTGGAAAGATAAAGGCCAAGAAGGTCCATTTTGGGCCCTCTAGCTGTTTCTCTTGAAACTGCAGCTGCATATATTTTCGTCCAATTCTTTCTGTTTAATTTCGCTTGACAGGCCCACTGGGAACCAGTTCTACTACTACGTGGCGTGACCCATCCTTAGTGTGCGTCCTTTAGATATAATCTCACACTGGTAAATCCTTTGAGGAAATCCTTGATTCGAATCTGGCCCAATATCTAATCATTTTATCATTATACAAACATGTTTCCACATAACAATTATACTTCTGGTTTTAGTTTACACTTAGCAAGTAAGATCGTGTTTCGGAGCAAACCAACCATGTCTAAAAATATGAACTATTTCGCAAACCGATGGCAAAAAGCTTGTTCATGTATGATACGATTCTGCCGCATGTCCTTGCACAAACAAGGCAAGTTGACAGATGACCATCTTCTTTTGAAAATCACAAGGTTGCTAAATTTCAAACACACCCCGAAAAATGTGCAACAACAGTCAAATCTGTTGACAACAAATCTGCACTGATACGTGGAATACTTCAGTGTTCAAACACTGACTTCCACCAGAATGTTTGGAACCTTAATTAATTGCAACAGGAAGAGCCTATCTTAAGATTTTTAAAATACTGCGAAGGACTGCGTCTGAGCTGACATTCACACAGAATGCCACACCGGAACATGCCCGGAGGCAATGGTCAACTTGCTGGCGACCACCTGGTCACAGTGAAACATGTCTGTGGACAAAACTAATTTTCCTCTGCGAATTCTTCCACTTAGTACTTAAAACATATCAAATCCCTTCAATTTCCTAAGAAATTTTAAAGGCTTTTAAAAAGATGCGATGTGTACATGCTAGTAGCTATGTGACAATTGGGTCACCCTTTTAATGTGGCTGTCCACTCAATCACCGCAATGTGCCCTGGGGATATCCCATTGTAAGGAACCAGTCGACCTATTTCGTGGTTTTAAGCCACAATGAATGTACAGACTGTCGACAGGTCGGTCAACTGGTGCGTATCATTCAGTCCACGGACACACAGGTGTTCTTACATATTTTTCAAAATGTAGAGAAAAACAGAACAATGAACAGGTAATGCTGGCGACGAATTTGACTAAATAAAATGTACCGCAGTTAGATATCACAGCTGAGACTTCCACTGAAAACGACAGGATTTTGTAGTGTCTAAATTAGAAGAGAGTGTGCAGTTTTCCCGGGTGAAGCGTTACTATTGATTCCCTTTTCTATTTCTTTTTCATTCGTAAATGTTTTCTTCACATCTAGATGCCACTACCTACCTGTAAAGTATAAGACTCTGTACAGGTTGTGACCGTGCGAACTAGCGCAGACCCTGTCTTACTGCCTTAGGGTATATTGGCAGCCCTAGCTGTGTGTTAATCAGCTTAACCATTAAAATACATATCTAAATCGTTTCCATTATACCTTCGATAACACTTGTAACACCTAAGCATGTGATTTTCTTCGCTTTATGGTGCGTCGATGGCACCAAGCTGGCCACCTCTTTTCTCTGCGAAAATGCTTCGATAATTATGGGGGGCGTGTCTTTTATTCCGCGGACAAAGACTGTGGGCAGCGTGGGCCCTAAAGCCATTTTAAATGTCCCTGAGCAGCAGACGACCTAGAGCAAAGAAAAAAACCTTCCATATGGTTCCTCCGGCAAAGATTAGGGTTTAAACAACGTTAGTCTGAGCCCTGGATACTAACTATTCAGTAATACATACTACAACGTGTAGATGGTAAAAAGGAAAAATCTGTCACAGTTACCATAATACATGTACGATAAATTGAATGTCCATGTTGGCTTTCCACACTCAGAATTCTCCGAGTGTGGAAGACAAACATGGGCATTCAAGATATCTTAGATGTATTATGGTTACTGTGAATTTTTGTGCTTCAATGCATACTACAATGTAGATGGTATAAAAGAAACATCTGTACCTTGCTTTTATGCTGGTAACTTCAGCCTTGAGTCCGTCGCTCTCGGATTGCAGGACGTTCTTCTCGTTGATGACGACCTCGGTGAGCCGCTTGATGTTGTTCAGCTCTGCCTCCCACATCTTGCCGATGTCCGGCCCTCCAACGCCGGCCTGCTTCTGCACCATCTGTAGCTGCATGGTGAGCTTGCGGTTCATGTTCTCCAGGTAGCGCACCTGGTTGATGAAGCTGGCGAATCGGTCGTTCAGCCCGGCAAGCTCGTCCTTGTTGCCGGTTCGGTCCACGCGGACCTCGCCCAGGCTGGTGAGCATCTGGGCGGCCTGCTCTGTGGTCATAGAGACGCCTCCGAAGCTGCGTGCTCCACCGCCGCCGCCGCCTCTTGCTCCCACCATGCGTGCTCCACCACCTCCTCCAGCGCGGAAGCCTCCTCCCCCTCCGCTGCGGGAAGACATGCTGAAGCTTGCGGAGCTTGAGGAGCTGCGGGCCCCACCACCTCCGAAACTGGCCCTCCCTCCGAGACCGGCCGCCCCGCCCATGCTAGCCCCTCCGCCGAAGCCAGCTCCTCCACCACCACCGGAGGACGACATTCGGAAGCTGCTGCCGCCTCCGCCACCACCAGAACTCGACGAGAAAGACGCCGAGGAGCTGGACTTGAAGGCGCTGTGCTGCAGAATCGTTGCCATCTTGCTGAGAAGTTGGAGGAGATCCTATGTGGCCAGACAGACACGAGGGGGGCGTTGTGCGCGGTGATTTGGCACGGCACACACTGACTAGACTGTTCTACTGTTCTCAAGAACCGGTTAGGCAGGGTTAAGGCGGGCAGAATCAAGTCAATAGTACTCTCCTACCAGAGCTTTAGGCTTCTACTTATGTTTGATAGGGTTTTATGCGTTTCTATCAGACTTTATTTTTGAACTGGTATCTATTTTCCGCAGCCAAACTTGGGTGGAAAATAGTAACTGTCTGGCAAATGGATAGTACCTGGTCAATTTGATACTGTCTTGCAGCCACCAAAAGATCTGCTTGGAGATTAAGTCAATAGATGTTTAGTTGAAGTGTTTAAGAATATAGGGAAAATATATCTATTATAGCCAATCATTTAAGATGACATAAAAACACAATATAACATTACTCATCAAAGGCTCGACTATATATGAGCAGTGTCTCTTCACTGTCATTTGAACACGTCAGAGCGGATTTCTTAAGGACTGTTGTTGACGGTATACAGTTTGCTGGTCCTGTCTGGCCGTTCTAATTTCGTAACAGAACTGATTTCTTAGACGGGACGCAACAAAAACGCTTACAGCAAAAAGCTTTCGACCAATCAGCATGTTACATGTGCCCACGTGATGAGCATGCAGGTCAACGACCCTCAAGCTTGTGATGACGTTTTCAATGGTTCCTGTTGCAAATATATGGTTGTTGTAGTTTACTGATAAAGGAACTAGTTTTTTGATAATTTTAAGTCGCAACTTACTCTGTCTATGTTGAAAATGACTTTGTGTTTCAAGCGTGTGTGTATAGGAAGTACACAAAAAAGACGACTCCTTTATTCCCATGTACTGCCCCTTTTATTAACCGACTAGAGAAAGAATGTAGTGAACTGCAAACGTACGTAACGTAGCAGTGTAAAGAACAGATGGGCTTACAGCATTTCAATGCTCTAGTCTTGCACTTAAACGCGCTTAGTTGTAACAAAAAGGTGCCTTGAAATTTAACGTTATTGCAAGATTTTCCATGGCACTAAGCTATCATGATTTGACACCATATTGTTCTAGTTTTTAATCTATCAATAACATATGTTGCTAGCTTTACGAAGCCGAATGAAATAACATCTTTAGAAATTGCAAAAAGAGCGTCAAAGCCAATGTCTGGCTAGAAAATCACTTCCACTTGCACCAAATTAAGTCGATATCCTGACGTTACTTAACTCACTGGCCCAGTACAGTATTCTAGAACTCCAAGCTAATTTTGCAAATGAGCCTTGCAAGAACTTCTACACATTGCCGTTACAGTGTATAACAAGGTTTGGTTTTAGAGCAAAAAAGGCGAACAGCAATGAACATAGTAGAAAAGCCGTAGATTTAGCTGCGTTGATGTGGAATCAGACACTTTTGGGAGCGACCTGTTAGCACCAGATGCTGGAAATGTCGCTCTTTAGAATCGACCTAAGAGAAATTATAAAAGAAATATTTCAGCATCATACAGTCAGTGTATAAAGAATACGTGTAAATACGTCTCTCGTCGAAATATTTGGAGTAGAAAAGTTGGCAGTGGTAGAAGTGTTAAATAAACTAGAAAGGTAACATTTGCAAAGCAAATGCAAAATGTTTACCTTCGCATATGGCCTGCTCTGTTAAATCTTATAGTCAAACACATTCATCTATATACATTTTGTATGTAGTCAGATACGAATCTAAATCCCTCCTGCTATAAAATTGCAACATGATGCAACCCAGCACCAGTTACCATGGTGACAGACATCTGGTTCAGGTCATTGACCTTATTTGTCTAAAGAACAAGAGGAAGAAGAAACGGAGCAAAAATATGTGTTTTCCTTGTGAGGTAAAAATAAAGATAAAACTCAACCTGATTGAATCTGGAGGCAATACCAGTTACCATGGTGACAGACGTCTGGTTCAGGTCATTGACCTTATTTGTTTAAAGAACAAGGGGAGGAAGAAATGGAGCAAAAATATGTATTTTCCTTGTGAGGTAAAAATAAAGATAAAACTCAACCTGATTGAATCTGGAGGCAATACCAGTTACCATGGTGACAGACGTCTGGTTCAGGTCATTGACCTTATTTGTTTAAAGAACAAGGGTGGGGAAGAAACAGAGCAGAAAAAGTGTTTTCCTTGTGAGTCAAACATAATAATACAAGATAAAACTCAACCTGATTGAATCTGGAGGCAATACCAGTTACCATGGTGACAGACATCTGGTTCAGGTCATTGACCTTATTTGTTTAAAGAACAAGGGTGGGGAAGAAACAGAGAAATGTGAGTTAAACATAAAGATAATACTCAACCTGATTGAATCTGGAGGCTTCCTCCGCTGGAACCGCCCTTGAAGCCGCCCCCACCGCCAGAGCTGAAACCTCCGCCGCTAGAGCTGAAACCTCCGCCGCCGCCAGCGCTGAAGCCTCCGCCTCCGCCTCCACCAATGCCGAAACCGCCACCGCCGCCGCCGCCGCCACTGGAGAAAAGGAAGACACAATAAAACATGACGTTCTCATGAATGAGTTAATGACCCGCCCCGAGGTGTATATGGTGGGATAAAGCCTTGCCAGTTGCTATAACCACCGAATGAAACCACCGAGTGAGCGTGGCGAAATGAGGTGGTTATAGCAACTGACAAGGCTTTATCACATCATATACACCTCGAGCTCGGCGCAGGTCATTAACCCTTAATTCTTGCCCAGATGGGCTAAATGCACATGCCACTAAATGTGGTCGACAGGATAGGGAACATAATATTGAACATTGAAACGCTACTTTCTTTGAAACACTAAGTACCAAAACGCTGTGTATTATAGAAATACTATATTCCATTTATCATCTACTGTCAGTCCCCGTTCTTCTCTCTTTTTGAAACACATGTAAACATAACTACATATTTTGTCCACTATACACGTTCATGAAAGTTCATCTGTTGGTAGTTACATGTGTGAAGGTAAAACTTTTGTTTCATCATCCGACATCGTTTACCTTTTACCAAATGTTGATGTCACACTTCAGAGTGACTGGTCGAAAGCTCTAGGTGAGATCATTTACCAATTTAAGTGTTGGAGCAAAAGTCTTGAAACAAACCAAGACGTTGTCAACAATTGCAAGGGATTGCTGGTGATGGTTACATCCATTGCCATCAAGGTACATGGTCATTGACTGATATTATTTCTGACTTTCCAACCTTTTTTCACCTTGATCCGTTGATAAGAGTCTCTCGAAATCTGTTGGTTATATACACTAGATAACACCTTGTAAAACGTGTATTGTTTTTGTTACTTACCCGCCGCCCATCGACAGTCCCTGTCCGAAGCGGCCCTCCTCGCCTTCCAGAAGTTTGCTGCAGAGACACAAGAGTGATGTAGCAGTGAGTGACATGTTCATCATGTTCAAACACTTGTCACAAATCCCCATCCTTTTACCATGTAGATGATCACCAAAATACTACGTTTCTAGTAAGATCACAAAACCTAATCATTATGCAGAATGTGGGACTATTCATTATCCACGAGTGAGCAAGTAAGTAAGTGAGTAAGTACGTGAGTGAGTGAGTGAGTGAGTAAGTAAGTACGTGAGTGAGTGAGTGAGTAAATAAGTAAGTGAGTGAGTGAGTAAGTAAGCAAGTGAGTGACTGAGTAAGTATGTAACTAGAAAGGAAACATAGGGAGTAATGTTTACCTTCGCATATGGTCTGCTCTATTAATACATACTCAGACACATTCATATATACTAGTATGGTGCCAGGAGTCTAAATCCCTCCTGCTATAAAATTGCAACGTGTCATTGTAACCCAACACCAGTTACCATGGCGACAGACGTCTGGTTCAGGTCGATCATTGAATTCTTTATTTTTGGAGGAGAAGAAGAGGAAGACACAGAGCAAAAACAATATGTTTTCCTTCGGTAAACATAAGTAGGTAAGCATTATATAGAAGAGGGGATTCATTCCTCAAGCTACCGACATCTTGCACACGCAGTCGTCACTCAGTAAGACATCTGGAGCCGCACAGTTCCCGTTTAGAACTTTTGACAGGCTGAATAAAACTTCTAAACGGGAACTGTGCGGCTCCAGATGTCTTACTGAGGGACGACTGCGTGTGCAAGATGTTGGTCAGCTTGAGGACTGAATCCCCTCTACTATATACTGCATAAGTAAGTAAGCATTGTTACCGGTAGGCGCCGATCTCGACGTCCAGGGCCATCTTGACGGCCATCAGTGCCTGGTATTCTACCATCTGTTCCTTGATCTTGCTGCGGAGCTCGGTCAGTTCCTCCTCCAGTGCGGTGATTTCCGCCTGTTTAGCCTCCAGCTGCTGCGTGCCGCGTTCCTGAACAGAGTCGAGCTGGGCCTGGAGCTGGGCGTTCTGAGGGGAAACACACACAGGAAGGTCTCACAACATATACACATAGAACCGCCTGGACATTCAGTCTCACTGGACAAAGTAGGAATCTTGGACTCAGAACCGGACTTCTTTGCACGAGGGATTAAAGAGGCCATCTACATCAGGGCATTACAACCATCCCTCAATAGAGACGGGGGGCGCCACAGACTTTCTGCAACCTATGATCCACTGCTCACGGAGTCACGTGTGCTATCTGCGTGACGTCACGGAAGCGGTGGATTGCTTATTCCTTGACAAAGACTGGAGTTGTACAGTCGAAAATTTGGGCGAGTTCAATTTGTTGTGTTGGAAATTACTGTTTAAACTTGCTACATAACAATTTCTACCAACACAGATGAACTTTCAAGATAACACACAGAAAGGTTCATCTTTTTCTCAAGCCTAAATCTGGTCAGACTGCTCTTGAGTTTCAGCTAACATTAGTTGGTTGCTGGTCAGAGAAAGGTTCTGATATATATATTGTCACCCATTCAGGCACAGAGCTAGATCTGGCACGGTTGTGGAGACAGTAAAATCCTACCCTGACCATGGACGGACCATGAAAAGGAGAAAAACCTACCCTGGCCTTGGCAGCTTCAATATTAATCTGTGTATTAGGAAACACGAGATTAAGAACCATGTCTAATCCTTGTAGCCCTAACCATTTTAGGCATAGAGCTAGATCAGGCACGGTTGGGGCTACAGTAAAATCCTACCCTGACCATGGGTGGATAGCCTCCACCAGGCCTTTCTACGGGAATACTGATCGCAGAATTCGGCAAAAAAAAGAGAGTAAAATTGGCCAAGGGAGTCCGGCCGCGGGAGGTAGTTCCTTTCCCTCCGCGCGGCCAATCAAACCTACAAGGCTACCTATATACTAGTAGCCAGCGTAGTTAGTCTGGTAGAGACTGATGGACGGACCATGAAAAGGAGAACGACCTACCCTGGCCTTGGCAGCTTCAATCTGAGCCTGCAGCCTCTTCAGCTCGCTTGTCATCCTGCTCAGCTCCGAGCGGGCGTCATCCAGACCTCTGCCGGCCCCGGCCTGCTGGCCCTGCAGACCTGCGATCTGCGGTCGAACAAAAGACGATTTAAACTAGAGAAGGAACATTTGCAACGCAAATGCATAATGTTTACCTTCGCGATTCGGACATGTTCTGCTCTGTTAATTCTTACTCAAACACATTCACATACATGTACTACTAGTATATGGTGATTCTCGAATCAGGAGTGTATAATATTGGCCACCTGTAACCATTGGTCAGATCTGCAGACGGGCAAGGGAAGATTCAAAAATCATTATCGTCGTCGTCATCACATCATCGTCGCCGCTCCTTTCTCACTCTACAGGCTTTGGCTTATATCTATCGTGAGTTTTGGCGTTTTTACCGGGCTTTCTTTTTTTGTACGGGTGGCACTGGATATATACTGCCCTGCCAATTTGATACAACAAAGTATCTGCTTGAACATTACTCTCTACCTCATATGAGAACGATACGGGCAACCAAGTCTGTTCAGACTCCTGTGAAGTATTTGTTTGTTTGTTTTTGTTTTTGTTTAAGGAGAGAGTTTTACATTCGTGTCATACCAGTTCTGTTCCCCCTGTTCAGACTGGAGAATTATAGCCTAATAAAAGACTATAACCACACCCGCAGGCAAAGTAGACTCATGGACGATCGGAATGGCCTGAGTTTGTTTAGAGTCTAGTGAAGTATCTTTTCTTTTATATTTCAACATCTAATCACAAGACAAGACGTGTTGACGGCACACTAAAGTTTTTTAAACTTATATTAATGCCGCCACCAACACAGGGGACAATACAATACTAATTTTTACCTGAGCGAGGTGAGGAAAGTCGTGTAAAGTGCCTTTCCCAAGGGCACAAGATCGGTGGCATGTCAGGACTCGAACCCGGGACCTCTTAATTCCGAGTCAAGCACTCTGCCGCTACGCCACACGACCCCACAGCAGTGAAGTATTTGTTCTCTAAGGGGAGATTTTTACCTTTGTGTCATACCATCCCTGTGCCTCCTGTTTAGACTGCAGTGCCAGGGCTTCGTACTGGGCGCGCACTTCGTCCAGGATGCTCTGGAAGTCGATGTCTGGCGCGCCGCCGGCGTCGATGTTGATAACGCCAGCACCGCCTGGTCCGTCGTCCAGGATCTGTCCTCGGAGGGCGTCCAGTTCCTAAGACGTTTGATAAGTTTCTATGAGTCTTAGATTACACATTGTAACATTAAAAAAAAAAACATTGTAACTCTTTGGGACAGGCACAAATGTAAGCCCTGTTCCTAATAACTAAACTAGTTTTCGTTCATTATTCTTTTATCCACGTTGTAATTATGTATTTTATCATTGTGTTTTACTCTTGCGTATATTCACCCACGAGCAGATGGCGTAATAAGTAATTGTACTTCTTGCCTGATACTCGTTAAATATATGTGAATGCATAAACAATTTACAAAAAGCAAATGCGTGACTTTTTAAAGTGATTACTGTCCGTGCAGGGGTTTTACTTTTAGCTTCGGGTTAGTTACGTTTTGACGTGTTTTATGAGGCTTTCTTTTTTGAACCGGTATCTTTTTTTCGCCAGCCAAATCGGGTGCCTTATAGGATACTGTCCTGTCAATGATGACTGTCTTACCAATTCGATACTGTCTGGCAACCACTACCCACTATTTGTCTCCATTTTTCTGTAGTTGCTGGCCTGCATATCCATCGTCGGTCTCTATATTTCTGCCCCACGTTTTCTCTCTTTGATAGATTTTCAAATAACTCTTCGAAATTTTGCAAATTTGACAAATTACGTTACCATGGTATCATTGTCCAAAACATGAAGACCGTTTCTTTGTATGACGTAGCCGATCAAGGACCGGTTTTGATGTCTTACTGTTACCCCAGCCATGTTTTAGGTTCAGAGACTCAAATGAATTAAAGAACTCTATTGTTCGACAATAAAGAACTTTATTGCTCGATATACTACACAATATATGGTAGTAAATCAACAGTACTAAAATGGCAACAATTCAACAACCATAACTAGAAGATATTATGGACAACAGAATACGTCTTAATAATATAGTATGGATGATTATAATATGTATGGATGATTTAATCTCGCTTTCTGGATGAAGCTAAAGAAATTGACTGGTGACTCACCGCTGCGTACACCTCCTTGAGGAAGTCTATCTCTGCCTTGATGGTGTCCAGCCGGGCCTCCAGGTCCACGCGTTCTACACTCACGTTGTCCACGTCCTAGAGTTAACCAAACGATACAGCAGAATGTTTGCGTACTGCAGTAGTTGGATTCATTGTGTGTGTGTATCTGACAGTTGTGTCTTTACGTTGTCGGAAACCCCAAGAATCAGTTTTGGGGCGAAGCTTCATTAGCATATTTACACCAGAAATTATTGGCCAGTTAGACAGATAAAATGCCTGAGGAATTAGTCTGCTAAAGGAGAGCAGTTTGCTCTCCCCTGGCATGTTATTTGTCTATTTGGCTAATATCGACTCTTTCCAGTCGCCTCGAAAGCCTGGTAAAGGCGACGAACTGTATTCCTTCAGCGGATCAACTCCCCTGGCATTTTAGCTGTCTATTTCGCCAATTTCTACTCTTTCCCACCACCTCAGAAGCCTGGCAGAATCACCCATTACCTTGATGCAACCCAAGCATCTACTTCAATGTTTTTTTTCCTATTGTATTAGGTGTACTATATCTCTTTAGCTTGAAAGTTCATCTGTGTTGGTAGAAGTCATTATGCAGCAAGTTTAAACTGTAATTTCCAGCACAAGAAATTGGACTCACCCAAATTTTCGACTGTACAACTCCAGTCTTTGCAACCTGCAACCAGTGGATCATAGGTTGCAGAAAGTCTGCGACCTATGCAGACAAAGACTGGAGTTGTACAGTCGAAAATTTGGGTGAGTCCAATTTCTTGTGTTGGATATTACAGTTTAAACTTGCTGCGTAATTATATCTCTTTATGTGTCACCCGACAGTCCGATACTCACAGGCCTGAGGGCCGTGATCTCATCCTGCAGGCCTTCGTTACGTGTCTTCTCCTCCTCATAGCTGTTAATACAACAGGACAACAACAACGTCACATAGGACAACAACAACAAAACATCAGACATAACAACAACAACAAAACAATAACAACATTACACAGGACAACAACAAGACAGTAAACAGGAAAACAAAATAACAACAAGAACACATGGACAAGAACACAAGAACACAACAAAAGAACAAAAACATGACGACTACAACGTCACATAGGACAACAACAAGACATCAAAGTGACAACAAAAACATCAAACTGGATGGTGTATTATATAGGTTTTAAATGTTTTTGTCCGCCCAAAAAGTTATGATACGCTCTGATATGGCATACTAGGCATTTCAAATGGCAACGACAGTATACGACACGGAAACGCCCACGGAAGAAGCAACCACCATTATATTTATTTCTCTTCTATCTTTGAAAGGGCCGTTCCTATCCTTGTTTGCAAACAGAATATTAAGAAGTCATCAATCTATTTCAGGGGAGAATGAATGTAAAAAATCTTATATGTAGCTATCAGATCTAAAAACAACAGGAAGCAAAGGGTGGGGTATGTGGGAGCAGCAATGCTTTAGATTCCATTTTAACCTTTAAAACTAACAGAACGTGTAAGTATCCCCTTGGGAGATATGCCAGTGGTTGTTTGATCAAAACTTAGTTAAAGAAAAGACAGGATATTGTCATATGATAGATTTCGCAAAGGCCTCTTAAGCCTCTTTTTTAGTAAAATGTCACACAGTCCTAATTCTTTTATTTTTGCGTAACGATCTGTGGAAACTTCCCCCAGGCTTTTACCCATATGCCTCGGCAGATTTTGTGTGCACTCAGTCTGAATGACAAGAAGTTCAGTAGGGGACACGTACGATCGGCACATGCAGTCATATGGCTGTAGGGAGTGGACAGACCACATTCCGAGGGTTTACAAAACACCTGGTCTGATGGAAATTAGCCTGGGTGCCAGACTGTTGCCAGGGTGAGTCTACAGACTATCTCTTCGGCTTCAGAACTAGCCTGGGTGCCAGACTATTGGTGGGGCTAGTCTATATGCTAGCTTCTTGGCTACAGAACTAGCCTGGGTTCCAGACTGTTGCCTGGGTCAGTTATAGACCAGCTTCTTGGCTCGACAATTAGCCTGGGTGCCAGACTTTTGCCAGGGACAGTATTCAGGTCAGATCCTCGGCTCCAGGGCCAATTTGCCCCTGAGGAAATTTTATCACAGTGCCCCTCAGTTAGACCATACGTTTCTCGATGTCTTGACTGGGGCTGGCCTGTGTTTTGGCCCTGGGAACAGTCTGGTATCCAGGCTGTATGAAACACAGACATCATATTTTTTTCTCTCCGTGTCGATACGCCAATGGTCTTTCTGTAACTATGCATTTAAAAGAACGCGCACAGTTTGCTTTTTCTTTGTTTCCATCTGTTGTTTTCTCTATGCTGCACACAGGTTACTAACGCTTCAGTTCGTTAGGATACTGCGTCGGGGAGGGGCGTTTGTCGGATGTCTGCGGCATGGACCTCATGGCGTCTAACTTTTTATACACAACTCTGATCTTGCAAACCAAACTTTGGAAGAAGATCACTCAATGAGTGGTTTTTAACTATGTCGGGTATGTAAGTGATGAAATCTAAATTATATAGATACGGACGCAATTTGCATAATTAATGAACTGCGGCATTTTGTAATTCGACGGCATTCCTTTCAAAGGTTCTGTTTCGTACTAAATGTAGTAACTGTGGCTACTACTGTAAGGCCCACAAACTCCCCAAAACCAGATGTATCTGAGAAATGTCTGTAGCAAAATAAAGTAAGACATATGCTGATACATGATAGTGAATGAACATAAAGTATGTGTTACGCCCATATATTAAAACTAAGGGCAGATATACCGACTATAGAGATACAGACACAGAAGCTGGTGTGAAGGGTGGGTATACTAGGTATACAGATACCGATGTGAGGTGTGGTTATACTTGATATACAGATACCGATGTGAGGTATTCCGCACCACACACACCTGGTATTCACTCTAAACACTCTCCCACAGACGCTAAAATGACTCATCTGACCCCGACACAACTCCCTTTTCTCCGCCACAGTGGCCCTGCAATGTGAACTATCCAGGTTCAACCGGTTTTTTCAAGCACCTCTGCACAGGGGCGAGGTGCCCCCTTCCCTTTCATGCAGGCAGCGTGTGCTGTTTGTTACGTGCGAGGCGCGGAAGAAGATAATTATGCAAAAGGTCATGTGGAATTTGTCCCAGTGTCAGCCCGTCTGAGCGTAACCTTGGACTCCTACGTTGTTAAGTGTAAATTACACGGGACTGCTTACCATGTTCGTGAATAGCAATGTGTAAACCATGTATTCCCTGCTTAAGCGTGTACCTAGAAGCTAACACGATGGAGGAATTGACCAAAATAAGCCAGAATTAAGGCGAGAAAAATGGTGGAGGTAAAAGTGGGCGTTACCCGTGTAGTCCCAGCCTTGTTCCGAATCCCAGACATGATTCGAACGTGGGCTGCATGAAATGACTTGATTTTGGGCAACTGTTTTGCTGATCTGTTCATGTTCGTATGCTAGACCAAGGCTATACTTAACGAGAATATGTAAACCTAACTATCCAGTGCTTGAGCTAGTTTTAAAGAAGTATAAAACTGTATGAGGGTGAACTTCACCGGTGCTGTCTACCAGCCCCTCCCCCCAGAGAATGTCTTCCCTTCTAAGGGAATGATCAGATTTGGGCAACTGTTTGTCCGATCTATAAACACTTCGTCTGCTATAGACCAAGGCCATATTTAATTTAACGAGAACATATAAAGCTAACTATCCGGTGCTTAAGCTAGGTTTAAAGTTTCGTGTAAACCTGTGTGAGGGTGCCTTACAAGCTTCTACCAGCCCCTCCCCCCAGACACTGAAGTCTAGACAAAGTTTTCTGTCCCTTCTAAGAGACTTGTATAAATGGGTGGCTCGTATTGAAGTTGGCACAGTGAACTAACCTTGCTTTCAGAGTCGCGGCCTCTCCCTGCAGGCCGTCTTTCTCCGAGTTCAGTGCGTTCTTCTCGTTGTTGACGACTTCGATCAGCTTCCTGATGTTGTTCAGCTCTGCCTCCCACATCTTGCCGATGTCGGGCGCCCCGGCTCCCCCCTTCCTCTGTACCATCTCGAGCTGCGCGGTGAGCTTGCGGTTCATGTCTTCCAGGTAGCGGACCTTGTTGATGAAGCTGGCGAAACGGTCGTTCAGCCCGGCCAGCTCGTCCTTGTCGCCGACTCGGTCGACGCGGACCTCGCCCAGGTTCACCAGCATCTGTTGGGCTTGTTCTGCGGTCATGGAGACTCCTCCGTAGCTCCTGCCTCCGCCGCCTGCCCTTGCTCCTCCTGCCCCGACCATCCGGGCTCCCCCTCCTGCAGCCCTGCCTCCTCCATAGCCGCCTCCGCGGGAGCTGGCACTGAAACTACTGGAGCTCATGGAGACACGAGCGCTGCCTCCGCCGCCGCCGAAGCCGGCCCTGCCCCCCGCGCTAAAGCCTCCGCCGCCGCCGCCGAAAGACGCTCCGCCGCCCGCACGGCCGCCACCACCGCCGCTAGAACTGGAGAAAGAGGCGGAAGAGCCGCTGAAGGCTTTGTGCTGGAGGATGGTCGACATCTTGGACACCTTGGTTAGATGTCTGTCACTGAAAGTGTTGTAAGGAAGACAGATCGATCACGAGAGACGTACGTTGCGTGCCGGCGGGACCCGGGTGACACAGTGAGCGGACGCGTCGGGATGGGAGGGGCCGATTATGCTAGCCGTGCAACCGGCACGAACAAGTCAACCACCTGTTTCACTGTCTGAATTTGTTACTTTGGCAATAGTACGGACTTCGGCTATGTGAGTGAGTGAGTGAGTGAGTGAGTGAGTGAGTGAGTGAGTGAGTGAGTGATTAGTGAGTGAGTGAGTGAGTGAGTGAGTGAGTGAGTGAGTGAGTATTATCCAAATAAACAGATGCCTTAAAACCAGCTCAGTGACCTAGCTTTCAGGACTGCAACTATACTGAGAGAGTATTAAAAATTCATTGCCACCAGTCAATAAATAAGTAACATCTCTCTGGCTACGACTCAACTATGTTCAAACGTCGGTAAACAGACTTGAATTCCGTTCAAGTTGACGTTATACAGGTTATTCCCCTGTGTGTGCCCCAGACGCTGCCAGATCATCAGTATGTATAGTGTAGTCAGACATCTCCTGCCATTGTTCCCTTTGACAACTATTCAAGTGAAAAGGTCGATGAATCCAATCCTACAAAGACAGCCTTGGGGCTTGTCAAATCGCACGATCTGGGCAAGTCTGTAAAACTAGCCTCTACCAGACACCGCGGATCGCTGGAAAAATAGTAGAAATAGGCCGAAATAAAGAAATAATATACCAGGGGAGATAGCCAGCCAGAGAAGATCCAATTCTTGACCCACGGTATTTTTTGTATTTTTCCAGCGATCCGCGGTGCCTGGTACAGGCTATGTAAAACACCACATGGCAGACATGTACTTGGCTTCGACAAAATATAAATTATCTCAACAATTCACCATATAGTAGAGGGGATTCATTCCTCAAGCTACCGACATCTTGCACACGCAGTCGTCCCTCAGTAAGACATCTGGAGCCGCATAGTTCACGTTTAGAAGTTTTATTCAGCCTGTCACACAACATGGCAGACATGTACTTGGCTTCGACAAAATATAAATTATCCCAACAATTCACCGTTCACAATATTTTGCTAATGAGGAAGTCGTAGTCTACAAGGCATCAGAAGCGACTGGAAAGAGTAGAAATTGGCCAAATAGACAGATAACATGCCAGGGAAGTTGGTCCAATACAGTTTTCTGAGAGGCAAACTGTACTGCTTTAGCAGACCAACTCCCCTGGTATGTTGTCTCAGTCTATTTGGCCAGTATCTACTCTTCCCACCCTCTCTGAAGCCTGGTAGAGGCTAGGGAAAAAGCGAGAAGGACGAATTATGTAGACAATGGCTCAAACTACACTGGACATCTCTTAGGACTTAAGTGATGGGTGCAGACATTTTACAATGCTGTTTACTGAAGGTGTGGTGAGTTCTGTAAACAGTTAAGAATGTGTCCTCTAAACCATTCACACACCGAATACTGGGCCTAGTTTAAATGTCCACTGCGTTTTGTTGGGACTAATGATGATAATGAGTAACTGCCCTAGCCGCCCCCGGCGATGTACAGTGAGTAATAGAGGGCGGGCGTGTAACTAGTCCCTACTGTAGCCTCATTCGCAGACTTCTTGGAGTGGTGAAGTTGATGATAACTACAGTCTAAAAACATCTAGAGTGAAAATATTCTTCTTAGATCAGGTGCCCCAACTTCAGCGGAAAGTGACAATTAAGGTTGGGACGTATCCCCGTAGAAATAGTTTATCTTATAGTCTTATTGAATAATTTATTAAACAACACAGGCACTCCTTGTGTGTTTTAATACAATTCCTCTTGCCATTCTCGTATAGATCTACGTGTTTTGTAGAACAGTTGTCCCCTACACTACAGAAAGTATTGTGTCTCTCGCCAAATTCCCGGCAATTATGTTTAAAAAAACAGTAACATTTAGTCAAATATGGAACATAATTGAGGAGTTTAGTGAGGTTCATTTGCCATCGAGGGGGGATGAGACCTTAACGATGGACGCACTCCCCTGGCCAGTCAGACACCCATATAGTACTATCTTAACCCCCCTTAAGGCCATTAAGAAGGCCTGGTGGAGGCTAAGACCGGGGCACAAGTTAAGCAGCTGTGATAGAACAGGTTGTACGTGGGTCATGGTTCAGGCAGGGTGGGGCGATGTGCGAACAAAGAGAACTCTGTCGAACCGGTGTCATCATAGGGCACGGACGGACAATGACGCTACTAACAGACTACTTTCCGTGCCTGTAGTATTATATCACATGCCCGTAGCCAGGATTTTGAATGGGGGGGGGGGGGGGTTCTTCCCACTGCTTGAGTGGACCTCGAGCGCCGTAGGCGCAAGGTTTTTCGGGGGGTCCGGGGGCATGCTCCCCCGGAAAATTTTGCAAAATGAACCTTCTAAAATGGCATTTCGTGCATTTTTGAGAGGATTTTCAAGGAAAAATCAGAGATAGTTTTTTATTCAATGACAAAGGGAGCAGTTTTTCTACGATTTCAGTCCATCTTTTAAAGAAAAATCTTGGACCTTTACATATAAAAAGTGGACTAAAAAGTGGACCTTTACATAAAAAGTGGACCAAAAAGTGGACCTTTGAGATTAGTGTAGAATACTTTAAGGCCAACAGAAGGCCGAGGTCTTAATCTGAAAGCAGATCCTTCGATAGCTGAAAACCAGTATCGAAAAGACAGTATAAAACTGACAGGGCAATATCTATTTGCGTAAAAAAAAGATACCAGTATAAAAAGAAAGCCCTATAAAATGGCTAAAACACGTAAGAAAATAAGCCGAAGCCTAAACATCTACTTGGAGAGTAGGCAGGTCTACCGTCCTTGGCTGTTTTAACAACTTAATTTTATTGACATTGTTGTATGTATATATATATATATATGAGAAAGTCTCAGAAAACTTCCTACAAATTGGAGTTATGGTAATCTGGTATGATTACGGATCATATTGCACACAAACTTCAGTAGAACACCATTTTATATAGTATTATTAGGTGGGCTGATTACTCTTAATTTGCAAGATGCGTTTCCCTCCTAAGTTTATGAAGTTGAATGATGAGGATAGAAAAATTTAGAAATTCGAAATGAGAGCAATAAATTAAATAATTTTCAGCCCTACTTGTGTGCTGATTGTTCATTGGCCTGTTGTTGATTTTATGCTAACTTGATTATCGAATTCAAATTTTGCTCATGATGTACAGGTGGCACGCACCACCTGAGTGTGAACACGCCGTTCCAAGATGGCAGAGTGTGCATGGACGGGAAGAACGAGCGGGTAAAAATTCTGCCCAGGAAGACGCACCACGTCCGTTTTGTAGGTAAGTTGTACTTTAAGTTGTCGTATATATACTCCGGACTATTTTAGATAAATCTCGTTGAAGTCAAATGAAGCAAAAAGACAGAATTTCGAAAATAAGTTGCGGCAACTGTCCCCCACGAGTTAACGATGCAGTACGTTTAGCAGCCGCTGGGGGCGCTTTTAGAATGGGCATATGACCCCTGACCCGAACAGCTTTGCTGTTCTGTGACGTTTGGTCAAATTCTATAGCTATGCGTGCAGGTTAACGAAAAAATCCTGGATAAAACCTCGAGTTATACCAAGGAGGTTATACGGACACTAACCTTTAATGGTGCGCTATTTCGAACTCTTCTTTCGTTCATAGAAAGTTTGACAACAACTTTAAAATCAATCACTGTACTCATAATGAGGTATCCCTGTATTTTTAAGCCTGAATAACATTCACACAGAGACGCAAGGCCAACCAAATGTCAACCCGTATTAGTCCATTGCGTTCTACGTCGACAATCGGTTATATTGTGTGCATGATTACTATATGGGTAATCAGGGCATAATTTACGGGCATAATTGACCTTTCCCGTTCAGTAAAGGTCACCACGTCTACGCCCTGATTACCCAGATAACCATTCATATAGCACGGTATAACCGATTGTCGACCTATAAAGAAAGTTTATTGCAAATACATGCCCGAGGGCTAGTTGCAGTTACAAACAACATAAGAAAGAAAAATACAATGGTGTGTGAGAGACTATATCTAACGTTATATATCTGCTTCTAGCATTATACTAACAACATTCGCATATTCATGGTTACTAGTTTTACTGGGTTCGACTTCTTCTTTTTAGGCAATGGAAGACGAATTTTACCTACTTCTTCTGTAATATATGGCTTTTTAGATTTCGGTAGTAAAATTGTTTTTTCGTGGTAGGGAATGGTGGGGAAGTAAGGGGGTATTTTGGACACGGTAAAAGTTTTCTGATGTCATAAAATGGACACAACACACCAAAACCGCTGGGGGCGCTTTTTTAAAACTGCACACATGTGACCCCTGACCTGTATATAGATTTGCTTGGAACTTGGTTTGTTGTTGTCCTGTGTGTTTTGGTCAAATTCTATGCGTTTCAAAGCAAAAAAAGTGTTCCGAGGACAAGAGAAGGTAGGAGGGACACGATAGTTCCGTTTGTGAAGAGGACGACATGGACAAGGTGATAGATTTGGAAGGAGGGGAGACAGACGACTGGTAGTGGTATGTTCGAGTGGGGAGGGGGGCGGTGTTAAACAGGTTGTTTATGTATCAATGAAAAGGTAAATTTGTCGGTAGAAAAGACAACAAGAATCCACCATAGGCTTTATAAAGTAATCTCCAAGCAGATCTTTTGGTGGGGGTAAGACAGTA